AGTAGAATTGATATATAAAAGACCACAGAGTGTGAAAAATAACAGATAAATATATGGTTGAATGAATGGATAATTGGATGGACAAAGAGTTTGGGACATAGATAGATAAACATATGCTTGAATAAATTAGAGAAATTGATATTAAAAAATGGTCACAGTATTTGGAAAATATATAGATAAATCTATGTTTGGATGGATAGAGACATTGATAGATATATGGATACGAGTTTGGAAACAAGATAAATATACGATTGAATAAGTACATAAATTTGTAGAAGGATGGACCTCAGAATAAGATGAATGCGTTGATAAATAAATCTACGGATAACTCGATAAACAGTGTGATAGAAATATAGTAGAATTTTATATGTAAATGGGTGAATAGAAAAAAACAGATGGCATGTAAATAAATCGATTAATCGATTATTAAATAGATGGTTAGACAGGTGGATAAGTATATTGTTAAATATGAGTTAGATAAAAATTTTCAATTAATTATTATTTATGAAAGGTATTGGTTGAGACAAAAAAAGTTAGCGTCACGAGCGGGATTCGAACCCACGACCTTCGGGTAAATACGCCGCTACTCTACCACTTGAGTTTTCGTGACTTCGATCCGCTCGAACACCAACTTCCCATCTCAGCCTCACCTCTCGAATTTTCCCTCCTTTTTGCCATTTTTCCATTTTTGTCTCAACCAATACCTTTCATAAATATTAATTAATTGAAAAATGTTAATTGGTCAATCGGACCACAAACTGTAATGGGTTGGATAAAATTAATAACACAATAGATTATTACCAAATCGATAGTGGATATAGATAGGCAAATAAATTGTTACATTGATGGATTGATAGATATATTGATAAATCGATTGTTCGAAAGACAAAAATTTATTTGAATATATCGGTGAATTGGGACGATTTAGTAGACTTATAAATATGTAAATATAATCTAAACGTGATTAATCCAAAAACAAGATAAACAGGTAGATAATTTGAAAACTGGAAGCATGTAGAATAAATGGATGTCTATCATGAAAGATGATAGAATGTTCTAAGATGTTAGAGGTACAGAGATAGAAAGAAGGAGGAAAATACATAAAAAAGAAAATGAATCAATAAATAATTGTACATACAAATAAAGATAGAATGTGAGAGGGGAAAGGAAAAGGAAAGTAAATAATACTTTCGTTTTAATTTGGTAAATTATTCAAATCCATCTCCTGTATGGTATTTAATTTTATACGTTATCGTGGAAAGTTGGTGGAAAGGATAATAGCGGGATCAATCAAAATGAAAACCTTTTTTTTTCATCCTTGTAAGAAAATATACAAGTATCTCACTATGTTGCGAGAAGCCGTGATATGAAGACGTGGATGGTATCCTGGGGTTTCCCAATGGATTTTTCGAACAGGACACGAATACAAATATATCGAAATGCAAGCCCAGATACTAAGTCCCAGATACTAAGTCGAATTACGAATAAAGTTATTCGATCCAGACCCATAGGAATAGACTCCCCTTTGAATATAGAATCGACAGAATATATTTTACAATATAATACAAAAAATACATTTTCAACGGTTTGTATGATTTTAAACGATCATATCCAACCCTTGATACCGTCTAGGTGGCAATTGGCATTATTATTCATTAGGGAAACGCATTGATTATTCATAAGATATTTAATGGAGAGGGGTTCATGTAGCATATAGCTCCAAGATTTTACAACGCCCATAGAATCATTTACATATTATCCAAGGATCTCTTAGTTTAAAGCACCCCTAGATACTGGTTGTATAAATATTTTCTAAGGTCTTGAGGAAATTTTGATATACAAAACTTTACCTAATATCCAAGAACGAACGATGATTTTCTAGCTTTTTAACAAATTTAATGCCATGTTTTCCAAACTTAATAACATAAAAGCATTATTTTCCTTGCTTCGCCTTTGTTTTTAGTTGAACTCTCTACTTTTTTTATAAATTCCTCCCTTTCACCCTTGTAATTGCGTTAGTCCCAATTTACCCCCTCGGTCTTTCAGGCGCCAAAATATTTGGCCACTTTTCTATTTGTGTTGATTTATTATGTAAATTCTTAACTTTTTATTTCCTTTTTATTTAATTTTTATAATTCCGGGATAAAATGCGGAAAAACTATTGAAATCTTTCGAATGTATTTTTCCCCGTTTGGATTTCAATATTTAATCCAATATTATGGATATGAGCGCTAATGGAAAGATCATCCCATCCAAATTACTCCAAGTATTCAGTACTTCCAGATAGTCTGACGGAATTTTAGTGAGTGAACGTAATTTAATAGCGTGAATGATAGGATTATCTCCCAGATGCCCTGAGAAATATCGAATATTTTGTGATAGAGCAAATGTAATTTACCCATCGTGAATATAAAGGGCTATCGTAAATTACGTCTAGCAATATCGAGTACTCTGCGGTAGAATGAATGTAATTTATTAGCGTGAATGAAGGGGCTATATCCAATCACCCTAAGTAATATCGAGTACTCTGGGGTTGTACAAAAGAAATGTGGCATGGAGGATTCGGAGCCTGTATAACGGTTCGCAGGATGAAAAAGTGTTGATAACGTTTAAGCACAAGGTCTATAGATGGATCGAAAGTATGGTGTGGCACTATGCAAGCGGCAATGGATCGTTTCCTTAACAGATGTCGAAGACGATGTGGATAGTGAAGTTAGTGAGGTAGTGTAATATACTAGCGTAAATGAAAGAGGTTACCTCAATAATTCTATGGAATAGGAGTACTCTGTGGTAGTATAAAATAATTGAGGGGAGTGAGTTTCATATATTAGCGTGAATGATTCGAGTACAATTTTAATTAGTCTGATCATAACTGGAAGAACAGGAAATAAAATTAGCAACCAATGATGTTTGCCTGCTCTAAAAGTTATGAAAAAATTCCATACAGAATACTTTCTATGTCGTGATCAAGTTGAAAACAAAAATAGTTTAATCAAACTGTCAACAATCTGTTTTAAATTACCTAGTTTAGGTTCAGAAAAGTAACAGGAGCAAATAAAACTTTGATATTGAATATTTTCTGGCTAAATAAATTTTAATTATTAAGTGATATACACTGTTTAAATGTAATGGTATAATTTCATACAATTTTGTATAATTTTTACTGTAAGATCGATATACATTGAACAAAATTGCATACTTGATTTAAGTAAAAAAAAATTATTTCAAATTACTTTCAATTAATTAAGGTTTTTTGTTGAGATAAAAAAGTCAGTGTCACGAGCGGGATTAGAAGACACGATCTTCGGCTAAATACGCCGCTACTCTACCACTTGAGATATCGTGACCTCGATCCACTCGGACACTAACTTCCCATCTCAACCCCACCTTTTGAAGTTTCCCTCCTTTTCGCCATTTTTCAAATGTCGTGTAATCTATTTGATTCTCGGCGAGAAATGAAATGGCCGACTTCCTTTGAGTCAAATAAAACCGCCTATGATCAAAGAAAATATCTCAGATTTACCGTGTACCATACTCTGTCACAATCATATAAAAACAGCAATATTCAAATGCGTGTTTCACAATAATTTCATAATAAACAAACATGACACCACAAGAGCAGCGCTACACTTTTTCTGATTATGAAATACTTGGTTCAAAATTTATATTATTTTCATAATATAAAATATAAATTCATAGTTTCGTGGCCCGCTTGACCAATTAACATCTTTCAATTAATTAAGGTTTTTAGCTGAGAAAAAAAAGTCAGTGTCACGAACGGGATTCGAACCCGCGATCTTCGGCTAGATACGCCGCTGCTCTACCACTTGAGCTATCGTCACCTCCATTCACTCGGACACTAACTTCCCATCTCAACCCCACCTTTTTTTTTATTTTCCCTCCCTTTTGCCATTTTTCAAAATCGTCGCTCGTGACACTGACTTTTTTATCTCAACTAAAAACCTTAATTAATTGAAAAATATTAATTGGTCAAGCGGACCACAAAACTAGTGAATTTCAAATTACTATTTATTTCATTACGAATAAAATCAGAAGAAATATATAAAAACTAAATCGATTAATACTTGTAATGATATCTATCATATAAAACCAAGAAATGACTTATTGTCGTTATGGATTTTCTATTATGAGATTATAAGATAGGAGAAATAATATATTAACTTATAAAACAACACTGTTCTATATGACGTTTTATCATTTTGTTTTAGTAAAGAGTTATTCCTAGAATATGGTTTGTGTGGTGAAGGATATTGTTTTATCTTTTATGGTGGGTGTTTTTAATAAGGTTTTAATAATGTAAAGCCCGTTTAAATTTGAAACTAGTCGAATATGTCTTCGTGGATCGATAAAAAGTCGCCGATGCTCTTTCCTGAGGGATATAGGGGGAATACGGTATAAAGGAAATAAATAAAAAACGATTGGAAAGCCAGTAAGAATCCCCACATCCAAGAAAACCTTTGACGTTCAGCCCTGTACGACAATAGAGTATAAAGTGAAAAAAAACCAACAGTACGATTTGGCCTTAAAAGAACACCGTCTTTTCAAAAACCCAAACCTCAGAAAAGTTCGTTTTTAAGCGAAAACAGGATTTAGAAAAGGAAAAATATTTACCAAAAATAAATCGTTAAATTGTTTATTTAACCAGGTTTGAGAAAACACGTCGAAATATTTACTGAGTGCATTCGTTCTTGTCTGAAGTTCGATCTGTTTTAAGCAGAGGCGGATGGATTATCACGAAGCACACTCTGTTATCTATTCATTAGAGATAATCTCTAGGGTGGCCTCGATTCTCCTCGGCTGCATAAGTAGATGTCCGCTTAAACAAAGAACTTAAAATTACCCTTATTAAATAGGCTTTAATTTTGAAACAACACTCTTACTAAAGGCTAAAATATACACACAAAAAGTACAAAATAAACCATGGTATAAAAAAAGTCAGAAATGTTTTGTGCGTTTTTTTAATCAAATGTTTCTTTCAGGATTCGAAAATTGGTATATACCAAAAGATGTGGAGGTACATGGAGAGCAAGAAGCCTTCGGTGTTCGTCCCTTCGTACGAAGATGGCATCAAGAAGGTCCTGGAAGGGAACTACGCCTTCCTCATGGAGTCGACGATGCTCGACTACGCGGTCCAAAGGGACTGCAACCTCACGCAGATCGGAGGACTGCTCGATTCGAAAGGATACGGGATAGCAACCCCTAAAGGTAGCCTCTACTGTCGAAAAATTCGAGAAATGTGATTTTTTTAAGCTTCTCATATTTAAAAGAAGAACTAGGTCAAGAAAACTTTTGGAAACAACACTCTTTTATCGAACACTCTTTCCAAAAGAGCTTCCTGGTACTTAATAGTCACCTCTTGCCCTTGAAGTTCTTTACATTTTCTTTTTTCTATTGAAATTTTTCCTTTATTAGTGTCTTTTTTTAATAAAGATTCATTTATTATCTAAGTTTAATTTATCTTTGTAAAGCCTTTTAAGATACAAGGTCTTAATTATTGAAAAAACACAATTTATGAAATCTCACATGTTTGTTACAAACCAATACATTTAATGGGACGTCGGTGTCGCGACGGTTTAGGCGTTGACATGGCGCTCATCACTGTAAGTAAAGGTCCTGGGTTCAAATCCAGCGGCCCTGCATTCGAAACCGACATACTTACAAATGGGCTTTTTTTCAAAAACACCGACACCCTGACCGACATAAGAACTCTGCTGTTGCGAATCCTCGTTAAAAAAATACATTTGATACTCGGGAATTTTTATTTCATCTAACCAAATACATTTATGTACGATTTTTTTTAACAAAACAACAAAAGCCAAACGGTTAAAGTAAAATACAGGGATGAAACATAAAAGGAAGTTTTGTTCAAATTCTTTTCTTTCAATTAATTAAGGTTTTGGTTGAGATAAAAAGTCAGTGTCACAAGCAGGATTCTCACCCACGACCTTGGGCTAAATACGCCGCTGCTCTACCACTTGAGCTATCATGACTTCGATCCACTCGGACACTAACTTCCCATCTCAACCTCATCTCTCGAATTTTCTCTCCTTTTTGCCATTCTTCAATTGAATGCTAATTAATTGAAAAGAATTTATTTGGTCAAAAACCAAATTGTAATAAAATTTTGTTCAAACGTTAAAAATGGAGATCCTTACAGCTTAAAATCTTTGGCGTTTTTAACGTTTTTGCTAATTACATTTTACAAAAAGATGAGAAAATTCAAAAGGTGGGGTTGAGATGGGAAGTTAGTGTCCGGGTGGATCGAAGTGACGATAGCTCACGTGGTAGAGCAGCAGCGTATTTAGCCGATCCCGCTCGTGACACTGACTTTTATATCTCCACCAAGACCTTACATAAAAATTAATTATTATTATCCTATTGTTTCTGCATCGGCCTGACACGCTCTCCTCTGATTTCACGTGGGATCACCTAGTATTATTGCTATTTCATGGTTGAGGTACATCATCCGTACATACATTTGCTACTCGGAAATTATCATTTCCGCTGACTAAATACATTTTTTATGATTTTTTGCATTTTTGATCAAAACAATACAAACCCAAACGGTTAAAGGGAGATTTTTACGGCCTAAAATCGTTGGCGTTATAAACTAGCGTTGCTAATATTCAATGACGAAATTGCGCCAGGAGCTTAGACGTTTCTTATTTTAGAAGTTTAGATTAGAAGGTAGATGCTTAGAAGTTTTTTATTTTATTGAGAAAAAACGGTAAACGTCTTCAGACTTTCTTTGGTTCGATACAACAATTATTTCATATTTTGTAACGCTTTGGTGATTTTTAATTTATATATGATATTTTACCCTTCCTAATTATTTATTTTATTTCATTCTTGTGCTAGTAAATATTCTGTTTATGTAGAGAAAGGATGCTCGATGTGTCATACCTAATTAAAGGGTACAAATCTTTGGCTCTATATAGGGAGCCTGTAGGATTACGACGCGATATGATAATCCTGCTTGAGCGTGTATTTCCCCCCCCCCGTGTATTTCAAGGAAACAGAGCTGTTATTGTTGTCCCAAGCGTGTGTTGAGAGTGAATGTATTTAATGGCGTGAAATTTCTCACGAAACCTATGGCGGAATGAATGTATTTAAAAATGAGTGAGAGTGTGAACTAGAAACTGCATGCGTTGGGTGCTCAATTGACCTAGCTGTTTTTTTTCTTTTTTTACGAGGATTCACAACAGTAGAGGTCATATCCTCAGGGTGCCTGTGTTTTTGAAAAAAGCCCATTTGTAAGTATGTCGGGTTCGAATGCAGGGCCGCTGGATTCGAACCCGGGACCTTTACCTTTCCGTGATGACCGCCGACCTAGCTGTTGACTGCCAACACCCGAGGTGATTCTCGAAGCCTACCGTTAATTTATTCTAATTACGAACGCTGGAATTGCCAATGGACTTCGAGGAATAATAAACCCTGATAAATCCAAATCCTCTAATTTCAAATAGATTATTTTCATAGTTGATATTTGGGGCCAAGGGACAAATTATGTTGACACACATACACTTTGATAAGTAAGTCTGTCAAAGAGCAAACAAATTTTATCCAATACTCCTGACCAATGAGCTAGATTTAAAAAGAAATGTGTTTTGGAACGTCGCCCAGAAAACAATCCACGTTTTCGGGCTTGAGGAAAATTCCTTTTACCTAAATTGGACCAAATTTGAATGATACATAAACTGTACAAATCTAAGCCAATCTGATTTTGTTTGATCTATGAATAGGATTTGTTTTTAAATGTGATACAAATTTAAATCCCATGGGCGGACTCCACGTTACTTGAAATTTGTCCCCATTAAAAAAAAGGCTTCTATATCCTGGGATGGTGAATTACAAAAAATGTAGTATCATTAGCGGGTGTATTTTTTATTGGGGATCGTTTACTGAACCTCGGCCAGAATTGGCCGTTTGAATCCTTTCCAGGCACGTTTCGGATTTGACTCGTCCCATTAATTCCTTCGAACCGGGTAGTTTTCTTTATCGCGTTATAAATATTCAGTTATCGATTGAGACATCAAATGATGAAATATTTATATTAAGACAAGGGTTAATCCGAGGGGGTTTGTTTCGTCCTTTTAATCCGTGAGTAGCACCGTTTATATGTGGTAAGTGTATCGTCGGAAACCACCTGTGGGCCAATTGGAAATTCTCGGCTGTGTATAATCACACATTCCTCCCTTAGAACTGATTCCACTTTGCCCCAACTCATTTCGGCATTATGATTAAACCTAATCGACTCACGGTTAAGAAGTTTCAAAGATTCCGAAATTACTGCTGTCAACTCCGATTACCGAGAATAAAAGACAGGTTGGAACGAATTTCTTAGCATTAAATCTTAATACAACCACTTCAACAAATAATAGTTGATATAGTAAATACCATGGTAAACTCTTTGTAAATAAGCTAAAAACCATTTAAACCTCTTATCCATCAGTAGAGGATGTATAACAAATTAATTCATTAATTTAATTTATTTAATTTATTTTATATACATATGTATATAAAATCCCTGAAACCCTGAAAGGGATTTGGTTTTTCTTAATACAATACATATTTTTTTAAATAATTTTTGTTGGGCCCTTAAAATATTAATAATAAGTTTTCCCCTTATTAACTTCCAGACAATTTTTTCCTTAATAAGCTAATAAATATTCACAATTTTTCTTTAATTTTAGAGTCAAATAAATTTAAAAAAATTGCTCTTTGCTCCCCAACAGAAGTCGTTTTACTGCTACCCGGTGCTACTACCACTAAACAATTTTCTTACTGCCAAATTGCTAAGTCATCAACATAATTATTTGATTATATATTAAAAATAAGAGATAAGACCAATTTAAAAGCAAATGATTATTCAGAAATCGTGAGATGCGGTCTGGTATGATGTAGGTTTCAAAAAATCATTTTCTTTATCATGTCTAGGTTTCGATCTTTATTGAGATCATCTTCAGGCTCAAAGTGTTTGTTTTCCGTGTAGATGTGTCATTCTTGTATGTGTGGGCACTCTCAACACGTCACACAAGAATGACACAATTCCACAGAAGATAAACACTTTGAGCCCTGAAGATGATCTCAATAAAGATCGAAACGTAGACACGATAAAGAAAATGTTTTTCTAAAATGATTATTCGGAGATCGTGAGATGCGGTCTGGTGTAACGTAGGTTTAGAAAAACATTTTCTTTATCGTGCCAACGTTTCGATCTTTATTGAGATCATCTTCAGGGCCTGGGATTTACAAACATTGTTTAAATTTAACAAAAACATGTAGGAACATTTTTTTGTTAAATTTAAACAGTGTTTGTAAATCCCAGGCCTGAAGATGATCTCAATAAAGATCGAAACGTTGGCACGATAAAGAAAATGTTTTTCTGAAACCTACATCACACCAGACCGCATCTCACGATTTCTGAATAATCATCGACTAACGGTCACTAAGGACCACACATTCTATAAAAGAAAATAGTGGAGCTTTCGAGAAATATCATCATCCTCATTATAAGTTTGAAACTTTAATTTAATAACTAATAACTTACAGGTTAATAAATAGTTCGTTAGCATTTGAACGGGTTAGGTTACGTCACGGTCAGATGTATAGATAGAACGAATTTGGTTAGGGTTAAGTTAGAATTACGAATGAGTTACGTTAGGTTATGTTGCGTAGATTTACGTTTCTAATCTATTACTCTAATGATAATGTATGATTCTATGATGATTATTCTAATGTAGAGATTTAGTGTTAGAGTTATTTAGGTTAGGTAGAATTAGGATTAAGGTTAGGGATGGGTTTGGTTGCGATAATCGTTAAAATTACAACCGATTTGTTTAGGTTAAATAAAAAGTTAGGGTTGGTTTAAGGAGTGATTTAGGTTAGGTAGAGTTAGGTTAGGTAGGTTAGGAACGGGTTAAGTTATTTTAGGCAGGGTTAAGATCAAGGATAGGGTTAGGACGGATTTGGTTAGGTTAGGTAAAACTGTTGGTGTTAGTGACGTTTTTAATTAGATTATTTTTATAGAGATGTTTGGGGCCAAGGCAATAGGACAAATTAATACATTTTGATAAGTGACAGTCTGTCTAAGCACAAACAAATGTTAGCAAATATTATTTGGAGATCATGAGATGCGGTCTGGTTTGACGTAGGTTTTAGAAAAACATTTTCTTTATCGTGCCAACGTTTCGATCTTTATCGAGATCATCTTCAGGGCCTAGAATTTATAAACATTTTTTAAATTATACATCTCACGATCTCCAAATAATCGTCAACTAATGGTCACTAAACACCACACACGTTATCAAATGTTGCTGACCAATAAGCTAGATTTGAAAAGAAATATGCTTTGTAACGAATTTGGTTAGGTTAGGTAAAGAGTTAGAGTTAGGATCGTACGGAGTTATTTAGGTTAGGTGGAGTGATTATCTTTAGAGTTAGGTCAGGGATATGGTTAGGACGGATTTGGTTAGGTTAGGTAAAGAGTTAGAGTTAGGGTCGTACTGAGATATTTAGGTTAGGTAGAGTCAGGTTATCTTTAGTCAAGTCAAGGATATGGTTAGGTTAGGTAAGACTGTTAGTGTTAGTGTTAGGGACGTTTTAGGTTACTTAGAGTTAGAAATTACAGTTATGTTAGTTTAGGGTTAGAGTGAATAATATATCGTAACGATCCATAATATTGGTGAAACCAATTCGTTTGATTAAAGTTTTCAGAAATATCTAATTTTCCCGAACCCGTTTGCTATATTGCTAGAGAGTGAAACTTTTATAATCTCTACAATTTTTTTTTTCCTAATCTAGAAATTATTGTGTCAGATTTAAACTTGAATATCATATAGCTTTTCACATACGAAAAAAGGCAAAATTTACATCATCAACTTTGATTATTCTTAACTAATATCCCGAGTTTGCTATTTTACTATCTAATGAACAGTTTCCATTCCTGTTACTCTAAAAACCTCAGCGACAACGCACTCACCCTTCGGAATGCCATTCATGGTCAAAAGTCAAAGTTGAAATTTTATAATTTCTCTACGAAAAAATCAGCGTTCATCGGTATTAACTGGAATAAAACTTACACCGTGAGAGATTAAAACATAAATGAGTTCGAATGGAATTGCTTCCACGTAGCTAATCGATTCAAAACGCCAATCTGATCAATATGAAAATTGTTTAATTTGGCGGGTAAACATCGCGCGTGAGATTTAAAACAAAGATTGAGACCGAACGACAAAACTGTACTTCATTTTTTTAACTTGTTGAAGATAAGTATCCAATTATAATTACCTCCTATTAACCAGCGGCAACGCACGGACTTTTACGTTTGAGCCTTCTTTGACCACGGTTTGCCATCATCTAAGGTTTTTTAAAGATCTGAATCTTTTTGATTTGCAAATTGATGGCCAGCCGTCATATCTCACAGGCCATCTCTTTTGGTTCGAAAGTTCAAAGTTGTTGACAGTCTGAAATCCACTCAGAGATTTCTGTGCAAGGCCCATGATCCCTTTAGAGGGACCATCAACATAATCTCAAGTTTAATTCTTAGGTAGAGTATGCATGATGGTACATTTTATTCCTAGAGCGTCATATTGATTTGGTCCTCGTTTCTTTTCATGTTGACTGACAAGTACTCTACGGTGGATTTAATTATTTTAATTCTCGGTAAAGTGTTCAATTGCGTAGCGTATCTTCCCAAGTTTATAGTCATTCCAGTATTTGGATCTATTCCTAGGACTGCAGCTCCCGCGCCTTCTCATGTTTTTGAGTCGTCAGGTTTCAGACATTCCTTTCTGGTAAAATTACTTTATATTTATTAAAGATGAATTTGGGAGTTGTCACGCCAGGTGGCAACAGCCTGTAAATTCTCACTCGGCTTTAGTTGCTTAACAATACGGCCAAACCTTGTGGATGGTTGTCGATGAGCAGTACATTCCCATATACTCGGTCGTCCTGAAAAGAACACTGAGGATCTTTAACGTCCGCACTTAGCCTATTCGGCCTTATCGGACGTTTTGATTCTCAAGATGAGAGCTGACGCACCTCCGCATAAGACAGGATGTTGTTACTGCCGCAACATTGGTGTAGAGGCAGCTCAGCCCCGAAGGGCCACGACAACCTTGCTCCCCGCTTGTCCATTCCATGTGGCCGGTTTTGCATTGAGCATCAGATCGTATGCCGCGCGCATAGGGCAACCTAAGCCGAAATACATCAGCCCGGTCTCCCGCGGACTCCCTAGATAGAGAAGGAGACTCTTTCTCCCAGAGTGTTGGGGCTTCTTTCGCGTAGAAACTACCGGAACCGCTCCGGCCGCGGTTTCGTTTAAAGTGGAATTGCTAACCACCCCCTAGAGGAGACCGCCTACGGTAACAGCCTCCAATTGAGCTCAGCCTAAACCTACGTGCAAAGCATACTCGAATAGGAGCAACCGATTCACTACCCGTTCCCATTCACCACTACTCACGCATTCGAGGGACTTTCCAGCACAGGATAGAATGAAGGAACCTGGATTGAGAAAGGGGTGTGGATGCCACGAGGCCTTTTCATTTTTCAGGGCCTCGAGCCTTAACCACATTATACAACCCGTCGTCGCTGTAGTTCCGCATTGAGTGGGCTACAACTCCCTGAGTAGGTTATGAGTTTACTTCCCAAATATAAGTTTTAGATGATTGGTGGTTTTTTGTAAACTTTTTCCCCACTAAGTGAATCCGAGGTTTCTACAACATATGCCTAAAGTATTTAAATTTTCGGACGATTGCTTGAGGTGGTACAGAACTGCTACTTTTCCTCTAAATTATAAATTTATGTAGTACCTATGTCCTATGTAATTTGTTAATAAATATATTACTACTACTTTACTCTGAAGACGGTATCGGTTAAGTAGGATTTCAGGATTAGGTATAAGGATTGAGAAGAAAGTGTTCTAGTTCGTGGATAATTACCAGATGGCAGACTCTGTCAAACACTTGGGTGATGTCTAAAACTCATGTTGAACCGGCACACGGGCACTACTGAGTCTGTCTTCACTCGCGGGTTTTTTGTTTGAGTTATTCAATTCGCAGTGCTGAAAGTTTGTGTTACCACCCACACCAACACAAACAAACAAACTTTCAGCACTGCGAAACATGATACACAGACTAAAAACAATCCCACTCAACACCGAAAACTACAACAAAGAACTGCAAACAATAACAAACATTNCAAAAAAAAATAATAATAATAATAATAAAAAAATAAAATAAAATAAAATAAAAATAAAAAATAACTAGAAAAGTGCCATAAAACTCACAATTAATTTCAATAATTCTATAAATCTAGTATTACAATATAAACATATGTGATCAACTCTGATAATACCTACTCCATTCCTATTGCAAAAAGAAAAAGAAGCTGTAGTCTACTTGCTTTCCGCAAAGATATTAGAGAAACCACAGCTCTATCTACATTCCTCAACATTTCGCACCACACTTCTGAATGCCTAGCCTTTGTATTCCAGGACTTGGCGCTTATGGACTGCATTTCTAACGCGTTCAAAGACGGAAAACTTATAAGCGCACAAACAAACTCACAATCACACACCACCTTCACACCACTAAAAACACTCCATAACAAAAAACGAAAACGTTCAGAAGAACAAAACATCGCAACCAACACCAAAAAAAAAACAACCAACAACACAGAAATAATAACTGACAATGGAAATGACCGCCACCGAGACCGACCAACGAGCCCGGAGACCACGCCCCCTAACGCAACGCCCCCAGCGACAAGCGACGGACGCAACACTACATAAACCCCACTCAGACTAAATGACAGACAGTTTTCACTGAAGATGGCGTAATGCCGAAACGCGTTTGAATAACTCAAACAAAAACCCGCGAGTGAAGACAGACCCAGTAGTGACCGTGTGCCGGTTCAACATGAGTTCGCCAACTCGCAGACCAAACCCCATCATCTATTATGATGTCTAAAACTGCTCACAAACAGTACTCTTTCTTCTATAATGCGGACGATCTGGCATCTAAATCTCTTAAACACTGATTTATTCAGGAAAAGTAAGGAAGCGTTAAGGACGAAAGCCGAATTGTAAAAATGAAAGGTCGTTTTAAGACTTTTGAGAATTTTGGAATCACTGGGACCTGATAGGTCAGTAGGAGGGTATATGGCTGGAAGGTTTGTGGAGTTTAGTTAGGCTAATGATGGATTATTTTCAAAGAGGGGGAAAATGAGAGATATGTAGGATCAATCAAGTTAAGAACCAAAATAAGTAATTCCAATAGTTTTCGTGGTCCGCTTGACAATTAATATATTTCAATTAATTAAGGTTTTCAATTGAGATAAAAAAGTAAGTGTCACGAGCGGGATTCGAACTCACGACCTTCGGCTAGATTCGCCGCTATTCTACCACTTGAACTATCGTGACTTCGATCCAATCGGACACTAACTTCCCATCTCACCCCCACCTTTTGAATTTTCCCTCCTTTTTGCCATTTTTCAAATTAATAATTAATAGTAGGTTTATTCATTCAAAGAGTCGTTATGCTTAAATATGGTTTACATTTATATACTTTTGGTTCAATAACAACAATCATTTTGAAACTTTATGCTTTTAACCTATCTTTTTGTGAATTTCAGGTTCTCCGTGGAGGGATAAGATATCCCTTGCGATCCTGGAACTTCAGGAAAAAGGGGTGATACAGATGCTGTACGACAAGTGGTGGAAGAACACAGGCGACGTCTGCAACCGTGACGACAAGAACAAAGAGTCAAAAGCGAACGCCCTTGGAGTTGAAAACATCGGTAATGACCGATCAGAAGCGCAATGCGATAAGGACAATTCCACAATCCCTATCCTTCCGCAATCCATTACCGGATTAAGGCCGAAAGAAAAACAAGTTATTTGAGGAAAGGGCCATCAACCGAAATTGATATTTGTTTGCTTACCGACAACGACGGACTCTATGTGCCCATGTCCTTAAAAATAACAAAATAATAACAGAAACAAGATTGCTTGTGCACATTTATTACAAATAATTTCTTTAGATTAACAAAAGTCTTAAAAAGTCAATATTGAAAGCAACGCATTTACTTTACCATTTGCATTACCATAAATTAAATTAAAGGATGGGGCCAATTTACTGAAATTTAACATTGCGAGATTTATCCGTGTCACCTGCCAGGTATCAACTTGAAATTTGAACTTGAAAAGTTAACATACGATCCCAAAAATATTTAATGGAATTAATTAATTAACTCTAAGTTAATCATAGCTCAATTGTTTATTTTCCAGAAAGCGGGGCAATTAGCAGAGCCGGTTTATTATGCTTAAATGGATGGGGTATCTCCTAATGGCCCCTCGATGACTTATAGGTCTTTTACTCCGTCCCACCTTGTTAGAGATAATTAATATGATTTTGTCAAATAATAAATATATGTTTCCTTTAATAAATTAACAAACTAGTACTAACCTTTTTTTAATCAAAAATAATAGTGGTTTGCCAGTCGTTTTTAGGTTTTAATAGTGAAAAGCACTCCGAAAAGCCTTTTCCTAAATATAAAGAAAATAACTCAAACATTACAATCGATTTGTAATCTTTAAACTTAATTAATCAAGAAAACCTTTAACTCCTCCCTCGAATTTCTACAAGTATTTCTATTTAAATTTACACTAAGTTGTACGATTATTGTATTTTGACACCCTGCATTGATATTATGGAGTGCAGAGATTTCAAACGGTTATTGAAAGAAGTGTTTAAACCGGAAAACATTGTACACGATGGAAGCTCAACAATATTATTATGCTGTTGCTGTTAACTGCAACACTCATATATGCAAATCCGGCCTATCGGTACTGTAAGCGCTGATGAAGTGTGTAAATTAAGCGTAAAGCATCAAGTTGATTTTCCCTCTCTCAGGTTTATCGTCGAACGCGAACCATCGTCAAAGACGAAATTTTCCGCACAAATTATACAAAATTCTAAACTTTAACTATATTTCATCGATCTTTGTTTTTAAATTGTTACTTCTGAATCGCTATTGAAAATATTAATATTTTTATGTAAGGTTTTGGTTGAAATGAAAAAGTAAGTGACACGAGCGGGATTCGAAACCTTGACCTTCGGCTGGTGGTTCGAATCCCGCTCGTGACACTAACTTTTTCATTTCAACCAAAATCTTACATAACAAGATTAATTAATTGAAATAAGTAATTTGGTCAATAGACCACGAAATATAATGAATTGAAAATATTAATTAAACTATTAACGTGTATATTTGGCGACTGATTGTTCAAAAATTTGTTGATGTGAGGAGCGGTCAGAAATGACGTTTAAAAAAAGCACTTTTTCATTTTTTACCAACGTTTCGACCTTTAGTCGGGTCATCTTCTGGTCCTGGGTGAATTATAAAACATACGTTGATTGGAAAAAATATTTATATTTTATATTATATAAATAATATAACTTTTGAACCAAGTATTTCATAATCAGAAAAAGTGTAGCGCTGCTCTTGTGATGTCATGTTTGTTTATTATGAAATTATTGTGAAACGTGCATTTGAAAATTTCTGTTTTTATATTATTGTGACAGGGTGGAGAACGCGGTAAATCTGAGAAATTTTCTTTGATCATAGGCGGTTTTATTTGATTCAAAGGAAGTCGAGAATGAGGATTTTCCGGGTCGGATTTGTGATTCGGGATTTATTCAATGAACTCAGTCTAATATTGGAAACAAAGTTAATTGTTAAGGACGATAACAAAGCAAAAGGAAATATAAAGTTTAATAGTTTATTTGCATTACGACGGTGGCATAAATGTGAGTTGAGTTTGCATGTATCTTTTAATAAATGCTGCGTGTGCCTCTGTTAATGTAAACCATTTCTAAAAATTCACTAGTTTTCGTGGTCCGTATGACCAATCTTTCAATTAAGTAACATTTTTAGTTGAAATAAAAAAGTCAGTGTCATAAGCGGGATTCAATTCGGGAAAATTCAAAGGTGGGGATGAGATGGGAAGTTAGTGTCCGAGTGGATAGAGGTCACGATAGCTCAAGTGGTAGAGCAGCTGACAGCTCGTGACACTGACTTTTTTATCTCAACTAAAAACCTTAATTAGTTGAAACATTTCTAAAAAGTTGCTTTTGTATTTTGTATTTGTGATGAAATCAAAGTTGTGTTGTTTTCAAAATGGTATGTGGCCACTGTTGTTAGTTTTATTTTTGGTGTTTTATAGTCAAAGATTTGTGGTTTTTCCCGCTTTTTCAGATATTGCGATGTAATTGTAATACAAGTAGCTGGACAGTTCTTAAAATTAATTTTATAATTTGTATCGGATTTATAGGCTGTTGATGTCGGGTCTTTGATTTTGGAAAAAAGTACTGTTTTGTGATTATTGATAGCTAGTTTAATGTGGTCTGAGAAGAGACTTGTACAGTGAAACCCCTCGTAACTACAATTTTGTCCAGTCCCGACTCATTGATAAAGGAAATATGTTTTTTGGAACCCTCTACAACGGACACGTCTCTAACGGACGCGGATACACCGTTTTTAATGAAATAACGGACAGTTTTTCTTTTCTTTTTTTTCCTTTTTCTGTGACTATTTCTTAAATTTTTTTTTAATTACATACATATAACGATGTTCTTGCAACCTGCTTTCCCAGAATCAGTATAAAAGTTCATTTTTCAATATTTCATAATTTTAATTTTTTTCCCCTACTGGCCCTATTATCTTGAAGAAATTGTTTCCAGGTATAACAATATCCCTTCCAACATTATTTTTGAATTTTGAATCCCCAATTTACCTATTTAAAAGAAAAATATTTAAACTGATAAGGCTGATCAATCACCAAAGTAAATATTTTTGAAGTTTATATTCACTTATAAAATTCTTTCTCTCCGTCGAGCATGGCTCTGAAATGGAAATGTTTATACTTAAAAACCAAAGTTGAAATAATTAATTGTCAAAATGAGAATAAATTATCGGTTCGCGGTCTGGCCGTCAAATTTAAAATTGGTAAAACTCAAGCTACCGATATTTTGAAAAATATAAAAATAAAATTTTAAAACAGTATCGTGATGGTGATGCATCACATCTTCCTACCAAAACATAAATGTTTACATATTTTTGTTTAAAGTGTACATATTTGTTTAAAATTATTTTATATTATTTTTTTTCCTTTGGAATACATATAATAAATTTGTTTTTAAATACATAATAAATATACATACTTATTTATATTATGGCAATATTGATTATGGAGTGAATTTTGTTCATAAAACTACTGTGTTGTTACCCATCCCTGCACAACGGACAATTCTTCGGTTCCCTTAGCTGTCCTTTGAAGAGAGGTTTCACTGTATTTTATTTGTGTGATAATGGGTGGACTTGGAATTTATATTGGTTTGTGTTTGTGTGATTGGGTTGATGATGTGGTGTGGTGAAACAATGGGTGGAGGATGTTGTTTTCGGTAGTATTGGGTTCTAATTGTTTATTATTCTGTTATTATGTTTTTAGGGTAGTTGTTATGTAAGATTTGTTTATATTCATTATATTTCGTGGTCCGATTGATCATAATAACTTCGAATCCCGCTCGTGACACTAACTTTTTCATTTCAAGTCTTTTTATGTAAGTTATTAGTTGAAATGAAAAAGTTAATGTCACGAGCGGGATTCGAACCCACGACCTTCGGCTCAATACGCCGCTGCTCTAACAACTTGTCACGATGGCTCAAGTGGTAGAGCAGCGGCGTATTTTGTATTCACGAATCCCGCTCGTGACGTTAACTTTTTCATTTCAACCAAGACCTTACAAAAGATTAATTAATTGAAAAAATTTTGTTTATGTTTGAATATTTAATTTGGTGGAAGGATTCATGACATAAGGATATGATTCTAGGCGTGATGTGTAATTGAAGTAGTGATCTGTGTTTATTGGTTTTTGGTACCAATCTGTAGTTAGTGTGCCATCTGTTTATCTTATTACAAGTGTAATATAATCAATTATAGTGCTATTAATCAAATCATGATTTTAATCAATCCACAACACTTTCTAAAAGTACATAACAATACCTTCTGACCTTTACGTCAGAACAGCGTGAACAGCGTGAAAGTTAATTTTCGAGTGTACGTTAAACTAAATTCCCACTGTGGGTGAGTCGGCGGCCAGTTTTGAATCTTCATTATCTCGAGCGCTTGAGGTAACAATGAACCGAAGGAAGTTTCGGGTGCGACTCGAGGCCCTAATTGGTAGTCAATATGAAGTTTGTTAAGGGCTTCGAGGAGGCCCGGTTTACCGAGAAGTGTTATGAGGGAAGTGTAATGACCGCGTTAACACAAGTTCATTAACGGCGGAGTGCCTGGATGACCAGGGAGATAAAGGGCTTTGTTTATGGCGCTTCTAAACAGTGTTTATACCATAAGATAACGGAAATTGTCTTTGTAGGCGGAGTTTTCGTCGTGCTTCTTTGCGGCCTCGCGCTCGCCATTGTTGTCGCAATACTCGAGTTTTGTTGGAATTCGAAAAAGAATGCTCAAACCGATCGGGTGAGTGGAATTTTTTTTATCTTTAAACTAGGTAACTTTTTAACTGACTTTTTTTTATTTTTACAGCAATCTTTGTGCTCTGAAATGGCCGAAGAACTGCGATTCGCAATCAGGTGCCACGGTTCCAGGCAGAGGCCTGCTCTCAAGAGAAACTGCACCAGGTGCTCTCCAGGGACGACGTACGTTCCATCAGCCCTGGAAATCCAACACATAAACGGGGTAAAACTCAAAAATATATTAAAAAATGATAAAACCTTTTAGTTTTTTATACATATAATACTTTCCGTTATAAATACATGTTCAATGATTTATTTCACAAAACATACAGTAGTATTAATACAAAAAAGTTAAATCTCTAGTTTTATTTAAGATAGTACGCTTTCAAATTTAATTATCAACTGACTAAACTATTGCACAGTTTTACACTCAATATTTACCATTATTCACTCATAAATTGAGCGTAAGTTTTTTAATTTTCAATCTGTGGTCATAATGAAATTTGAAAAACTGTACCTTATTAATGAGGTAAATTCTAAATTTTTGAAGTGGAGTGATAGCACGTATAGATATTTTTTGGGTAACTTCTGCAAATTCACTATGTATTTGTTTGTTTTTTATCAAGAAACAAAGTCGATATTCGTTTTTTGCACTACAAAACACGCAGGAATACAGATTTTTTGCAAATAAAAAAACTAAATTTTCCTTTCTCTAATTTATCACCCTTCAAGTGCGTCCGATATTTTTCAAACGCATAAAAATTGTGGGCAACCGATATCCCCCGTTGCACATAAAAATGTATTACTTCTCTCAATTTTCACCAAATTCAACAATATTGAAACCATTGGAAATCAGAATATTTCTCATTTCAGGTGGAGTTAATAAAATGTACATTTTAAATCATAAGTGGGAAAAATTAGATGAAATTAACTAAAACTTTTCAAACGTTTTATTTGTTATCTCGGATTCGAATTTATTTTCGAAGGACAGGTTCCTGTGATTGCTTTTAGTTTATAAAACTTCAAATCTATAAAACATTTCTTACGGACCAACTAAATTATTTCAAAATAATGTCAATTTTTGTGTTTTCGAAAAATAATCGGAGACTCTCTTGTGAGGCAATTGGATATTTTAATTTTCTTTTCGAAAAACATAAATATGGTTATAACTTTTAAACAACTCTACCAACCTGCAAGAAACTATATGGAGGTTTAGAACCGAATGATCTCTATATAATGGCCCAAATTTGCCTCAGTAAATAAAATGCCACTGGAGGTATAAAATAAAACGTTTAAGGGCCGATTTTTAAATTCATCCTTATTTTTTCGCTTATAAATAAAATCGAAACTTTTTTGAAATTAGCTAAAGGTAGGGTAATTGCCTTTTTCAACTCTTGTAATAACGTTGAATTTGGATAAAAACTAGAGGTGTTATGAAATTTTAAGTGAAGCACCATACGACGAGAAAAATAGATTGGCTCCGCGAATCCAGCCCAAAAATGTATCTTATTGCTTGCTATAAAAAATCGTATTTAGAAGTTTTAAAGTACTTAAAACAAATTTGAATTTTCTTTTAAACGAAAATCATTTTTGCTTACTTTTCTGAAAGAGGGAGATAATTTTTATAATTTACATATAAATCTTATCTCATTTGATCTCTTACATTCATCAATGTAATTCAACTCGACTAACCACACATATCAAATTCAAACAACTTCAATAAAACAACGTACTTAAATATATATTCTAGTTCCTTTATTATTAACAAGTAAGTGTTAATATTTTTATAAAGTTAGTAGCAAATTTCTGTACACATGGTATTAATTTATTAGAATGGTATTAATGAGAAAAAACATGTACAAAAACAAAAAATGCTTCGAGCAATGTGGGCAAAAAATTGTTTTGAAAAACCAATTTGGATTCCTTTTAAGCATCGTGTAAAATCATTAAATACGATTTTTCTAGTAAAAAAATTATGGGCTGGAATAGCTTTTTAATTAGCGTTATTTTAAGTAGGTCGATTCGTTCTTTTACGTAGAATAATACATGGATGTACGGGATCATATTAGATAAAATTAGATATAAAATAAGTTACAAAAACAAATGATGATTCCTTTAACGCTAAACATTTTTTTAAACAATTCGGATTCATACAAATCTTAAATACTAATTTTAATACTATTAAAAAATAAATGTGGTCACAAATACGGCGCTTTGCAATGTTAAACCAGCACGACCGATCAGTCGTGAGGGTTTAATCTATTGAGCGCCTCGTGGAAAAAGTCGGTTAAAAATTTTAGCAAGAAAAACATTTTATTTTTCGTTTTTTGCTCCTCAAAAAAATAAATAAATAAATAAATAAAATACAACGTTTTACGAAAAAAAAGTATTTTTGTCAAAATATTTACTATTCAGATGGTTACAATTTATCCCGAAAACTTTAAGATGGTGGTAACTTTGAAATGGCTCTACATATTTTCGGAAACCGTTTTTAATAAATGATTTATCAGAAATCTTGAGATGCGGTCAGGTGTGATGTAGGTTTCAGAAAAACATTTTCTTTATCGTGCAAACTTTTCGATCTTTATTGAGACCATCTTCAAAACCTGAACCTGAAGATGACTAACAGTCACTAAACACCACACACGTTGTTAATAAAGTACAAATATTATCACAAAGTTAGCCTTCGGAAATAATAGGGTATATAAACAATCTATTTGTGGACAATCAAGAGATAAGTAAAGTGTAGATTCGTCCGGGATTGCATCAAGGCAAACATTACCACAAAACCACCCTTGTTTCCAAAAACAAAATACCTTTTGGCCCTGAAACCTTTTGCGACATACCAAACCACCAAAAACATCACTTTCACAAAAACCAACCTTTATAATGGTTTAGAAATAACAAACTACACACGATGGCCTCTGTAGCCACTAAAATTGGAGGTACAAAATAAAACGTTTGATATGTTTTTGTTTAATTCATCCTTATTTTTTGACTTATAATAACTATAAATCTTAACTTTATTGATATAAACTAAAATTAATTCAGCTTTCTAGCACTTGCAATGAAATATACTTTGGAAAAATTTCAGAAGAGTTATGAATTTTTAAGCAACACTGGGCATTGGCGAAAAATGTCTATTTTTTGTTTATTAAAAATACTAGAATTATAGAGCATCCAAAGGTGGCATAAAATAACCAAATCGGGGTTTTCTATAAACATATTTGAACTATTTTACTCTTTTTTACGAGGATTCGCAACAGCAGAGGTCATATCAGCCCCAGGGTACCGGTGTTTTTGATAAAAAGCCCATTTGTAAGTATGTCGAGTTCGAAAAACCTAAAGGCATGTTACAAGAAATAAAACGTCAAAAGAGGAGAAAAAAGTCGTTTTTTAGGGGCCCGGAAAAGATCTGTCAAATAGAATGCACAACCAAATTAAACTGCTGAAAGTTCATGGTTTATAATAAAAAAAAGTGCGCCCTGATGAGTCAGCGATTTGCGAAAATAGGTTGAAACTTTTTTTTTCCGCGTGGCACATAAATGAAAAATCAAAGGGTTTATTGCCAGAAATAAAACGTCAACGGTGTAGAAAAGGTCATGTCAGCAGTCGTGAAGACGAAACGGTTTTTGTCCCTCCTTCGGATAGCACAGACTTTTAGACCCTGAAAAATACTTGGACGAGATCCCGTTAAAGAGAATCATCATTGACGTCTGTCATCAGTGACGATCCGTTTTTCAGATCCGAAAGGATGATCCGATGCAAATCCGCCGGCCGGCAATTTTAACCGTATTCTCCGATATTCGTTTCTGCGAAAACCGGTCCCGCATGATAAACACACCCACCCCTCCTTTCCGCAGGTAGGTTCCTCCTGTTCTTTCTTTATTAGCCCTTGTTATTCCTTTCGCACTACTGACACGTCCGCTTATTTTCTCGAATTTTCCTTCGCAGCGACATTCTGTCTTTGTAAGCATGAACGATTTTGATCAGGCCAACGTTAAAGGGGCTTTTCTGCCGACTTCGTTTTATTTGTGCCTTTAGGACAATTTTTTACAGTTAAATTCTCACCTTTTCTCCGCAACTTAACCAGATTTCATGGATTGTTCCTAATTTAAGTCCATTATTTTGAATGAAAATCCACTTTAGCAAGGTGAGTACTTTCGAAGGATCACCTTGTGTTATTGCTAGACTAACAGCATCCCTGCAATGTCTTTATTGTCACAAATGACAAATTCTGATATATGCTTCTTTTTGCCAAAGTCAACATGTTTCTGTCTCAATTTTGTCTTATTTCTACACATGATATTTTATTAAAAAGGCATTGGCCTAGATTTACACCAATAACTGCTTGCTAAGCGAGTCTTTTTATTTGAAATAGTAATATTTTTTCCATTTTTCTTTGCGTAAAACTGAACCTCAAAATTTTTGAGCAGTTGATTGTTCTCATGACACAATTCTAATATTACTAGAGCTATCTGGCGTTATTTATTTCTTCATACTTTGAAAGAGCGAAAGAAACATCAGTTGAAAAGAGGGGGACAATCCGCACAAAAGAGATAGGTTTTTAGTTGAGATAAAAAAAGTCAGTGTCACGAGCGGGATTCAAACCCACGATCTTCGGCTTGATACCCCGCTGTTCTACCACTTGAGCTATCGTGACCTCGATCCACTCAGACACTAACTTCCAATCTCAACCCCACCTTTTGAATTTTCCCTCCTTTTTGCCATTTTTCAAATATTCGATAGCTCAAGTGGTAGAATAGCGGCGAATCTAGTCGAAGGTCGTGGGTTCGAATCCCGCTCGCGACACTGACTTTTTATCTCAACTAAAAACCTTAATTAATTGAAAGATATTAATTGATAAAGCGGACCATGAATATTAGTGAATTCAATAGTATTCAATGTTCCCTTAGTTAACAGGGATGTGGTCAAATAAAATATTTTTAATGTTAAATCTTCGCCTAGCGTTTGGAACTTCATTGTACCTTCTTCAGGGCTTGATTTTTAGTCAGAAAGATAGTTGTTTTTAGTTGTAATTTTAGATCTACTGTCCGTGATATTACATGAAACTAGGCTAGTCATTTCATAGTTTGAAAAGGTGAAGAAAAATTTTTATAAAGTGAGAAAAAATATTTTTAGTGACAGCATGAAAATAAAACGATTCAGGTTTATTTACTTCTAACTAAAAATCAAGCTCTAAAAATAAAATTCCGAAAGCTAGGCCAAAATATAAAATGAAAAATATTTTATTTGACCACATCTCTGATAACAAAGTGAACATTGTCTGCTGGTAAATAAATCTACAAAACAAATAGTTATAGCATTGTAATATTAAAAATATTATTAGACAAGATCTCGTTCCTTTTCTATTATTACAAGGTAATTCTTCTATCGTTTTTTACGTAAAGGCGTTATTATTTTGTTCAGATAAGAGATTATTATTTTGTTTTTGTAAAAGGATTTTAGTTGTATTATGAAATTATTTATATTATTTTAATATTATTTTGTCTGTGCTATAATATTACTATTATTATTATTATTAATTCTTAAGGGCGGTTAATATTATTATTATTATCAAATTCATTAGAATATGTGGTCCGGTTGACCAAATAAAATCTTTCAATTCATTAATCTTTATGTAAGGTATTGACTGAGATAAAAAAGTCAGACGAGCGGGATTCGAACCCACGACCTTCGGCTAAATACGCCGCTGGTCTACTTGAGCTATCGTGACTCATCGTATTTAGCCGAAGGTCGTGGGTTCGAATCCCGTGACACTGACTTTTTTTTCTCAACCCATATCTTACATAAAGATTAATTAATTGAAAGATGGTATTTGGTCAATCGGACCACGAAATGTAATGAATTTCATAAGTTAAATGAAGTATATCTTCACTAAAGCTCTCTGTGACCATTTCATTTGTCGCCTAGAATCAAATGTCATTCGGTTCATTTATTATCTAAGTTTAAATTATTTTTGTAAAGCCGTTTTAATACATGATGTCTTAATTATTGAGAAAGCCCAATTCATGAAATCTCACATGTTTATTACAAACCAATACATTTAATGGGGCGTCGGTGTCGCGACGGTTGAGGCTTGATTACTGGAAGGTAAAGGTCCTGGGTTCAAATCCAGCGGCCCTGTCGAACCCGACATACTTACAATGGGCTTTTTTTCAAAAACACCGGCACCCTGAGGGTTTATATGACCTACACGTTGCGAATCCTCGTTAAAAAAAAATAGATTTGATACTCGGGAATTTTTATTTCATCTAACCAAATACATTTTTTTATGATTGTTTTTAACAAAACAATATAAAGCAAAACGGTTAAAGTAAAATACAGGTATGAAACGTAAAAGGAAGTTTTGTTCAAATTCTTTTCAATTCATTAAGGTTTTGGTTGAGAAAAAAAAGTCAGTGTCAAAAGTGGGTTTCGAACCCACGACCTTCGGCTAAATACGCCGCTGCTCTACCGCTTGAACTATCGTGACTTCGATCCACTCTGACACTAACTTCCCATCTCAACCCCACCTTTTGAATTTTCCCTCCTTTTTGCCATTCTTCAATTGAATGCTGATTAATTGAAAAGAATTTATTTGGCCAAAAGCCAAAATCTAATAAAATTTTGTTCAAATGTTAAAAAGGGAGGTCCTTACAGCCTAAAATGTTTGGCGTTTTTAACGTTTTTGCTAATTATATTTTACACAAAGGAGGAAAAATTCAAAAAGGTGAGGTTGAGATGGGAGGTTAGTGTCCGGGTGCATCGAAGTCACGATAGCTCAAGTGGTAGAGCAGCGGCGTATTTAGCCGAAGATCGTGGGTTCGAATCCCGCTCGTGACACTGACTTTTATATCTCAACCAATACATAGCGGTCGTGGGTTCGATTCCCACCGTCGCCTCTGGTCCTTTTTTCTCATAGATCATAAGGCAAAAAAAAATACATAAAGATTAATTATTATTATCCTAATGTTTCTGCATCGGCCTGACACGCTCTCCTCTGATTTCACGTGGGATCACCTAGTATTATTGCTATTTCAAAGTTGAGGTACATCATCCCAGTTAAGGCTTTATAGTCAGCGATGACAATTTCTATGTACAGTCAACATCTATCTTTCTTTGCCGTTTTCGCTTTCTTTATTTGGTATTTTATCCAAATGGCATTGGCCTGAAAACAGGTTTAACTCATTTCCTCCGTGCAAACCGAGTCTCCCTGCTTGATACAGTTATAAACTTTTATGTATTATGAGCCTACGATTAGAAGATTGACGTTTCCTAGGAATTTTCCTATAGGGAAATGTAATTTTTGTTTCCCTATAACCTCTTATTTTACAATTTCAGGCCCATAGGTGGACATTTCTTATCCTAGATAATTGTAAATTTATATACATATTAGAGGAGTGAATGGGATGTGCCTCAGGGGTTTTTCTATTAGAAAAAAAAATCTTTCTATCCCTACAACCTCTCCTTGTTCCGTTTTTGTTCCATTGGTACACTCTAGGTTGATTCATCAACTTTCTTAATGCATAGTTTGATTTATAAAAGTATTGAGTTTAGTCGATACAAACTAATAAGAAAACATTCTCACACTTTCTAATGAGAGTGTTAAAAAAATATATTTGAAGCATTTTTCCTTTCTTTCTGAACAGAATTTTTGTTTATTGCAGGAAACTGGTATCCTCCCCATGATCGAGATGAAAAAGTCGTCACTCGGCTACGATCCGGACACCTAGTGAAAGCTACAGGACTCGACGTCCCTCAAAGTCGTCGAGTCCACCAAGCTTTACTGGCCGCAGGAGCACCACGTGCCTGAATCCTGTTACCAAGAGACGTACACGTAACACCAGCCCAACCTCGAGGTCCCCGCCAACTGGTTCTTCCTCTAACGAGTGGGAATTGATTGAACTGTAAATAGATACCGGTGTATAAAATTTTGAATTGAAGTTAGCTGAAATGGGAATTTTGTTTACAAAACTTGAAACATTTTTATTAAACAAAAGGAGACTAGGAAATTTGTGATCATTTTGTAAATAAATAAATGAATTTTCTTTGTAAAACAACTAGAAAAAGGCTCAATTCAGGGATACAGTTTTTATTTGTAACACAACCAACGGTCCAAGACTTATAAAGGATCAACTAGAAGATAAACAACCGCAATTTAATTTTTTTTATTTAAATCCTTTAAAAAGGTTTTTTTTATGCTGCAAGTAGATTTTTTACACATGTACAGTTATAAAAAACCGCCCATTTCTTTTTGTAGAAATTTCAAATAAGTGCCTATGCAAAAGTAAAATGTTACTATAAAATTCATCTATGTTGTAAATTTAGCAGTTGGAACGATATGAAAAGCCTTTTCTCTCGACTTCGAGGTGATGGAAGAAATTTTGATTTGTTTTATTCAAAACAACTGAAAAGTGTACAGTTTCTATTGTTGTTCCTTGTTATTTATTAAATGTGGTTTAAAATAGGTGTAATTTCCAATTGTTTTTTTAACTCTATAATAGTTAATTCAGCAGATTCATAATTTGGAATATAATTTAAGTGAAAATGTCTAGCTGGTGAAAGGAGAGAAAACGCCGAAAATGTATGAAAACAAACATGCATTAGTGATATACATATACAAAAAGAAATTCATGTAAAATTTTCCAAAACTTTTACTCTTTATTTAAGAAGAATTTTTAATAATAAGGCAAAATGCTTTGTTAAAACTCTTCTATATTGTGATTAATACAATTGTTTTTATACATTATGTTATTTTTTAACCTAACAATTGTCCAATGGTAATAAAAATTAAAAATTAAACAAAAAGGTAAGTTTAAAAGCAAATTTACCTCCCCTTTATAAAAAGTTTTTTTTACTGTAATTAAAATTATCAAAATGCTTCACTTAATTAAGGTTTTTAGTTGAGATAAAAACGTCAGTGTCACGAGCGGGATTCGAACCTACGATCTTCGGCTAGATACGCCTCTGCTCTACCACTTGATCTATCGTGACCTCGATCCACTCGGACACTAACTTCCCATCTCAACCCCACCTTTTGAATTTTCCCTCCTTTTTGCCATTTTTCAATCCCGCCATAACACTGACTTTTTTATTTCAACTAAAAACCTTAATTAATTGAATGATATTAATTGGTCAAGCGGACCACGAAAACTAGTGAATTATTAAAATGTTTAAATCTAGTTTTACCTTTTTACTACAACGATATCTGTAGTCGTATAATTTTTTTTCAAACATACAATATACAAAGGGTTAGGCAAACATATGTGAACATTTTTGGATATATTACATCTTTTTTGGTGAAACATCAGCCCAAGAAAATAAAATAGACAGGTCAGTAAAGTGTGATTTAATTCATGACAAAGTTTTCACTACACTTTGTCGCTTCATAGCTTCATAACCTAAGAAATTATTTAAGGGCATAAATTCTAATACATAAAAATGGGACATTTAGTGAGTTTTAATTAAAAATAGAAATTCTCAGTACATTTCACCCTAAATATTACCAAGGTGCACAGCAGACTTTCTAACTTCTTAATAACTGGGTCAAATTAACGTTACCAGCTCGAAAGAATAGCTAAATTAAGTTGACCTCCACTGCTCATCCTGGTCCAAGGTTGTTAACCAATTTTTCAAGAAAGTTTCGAAACTGTCCCAACGATTTAGTGGGGTCAACCTTGGGTCAAATGCTTCTCTTTTAGGCGGGCAGTCTCTCCATTGATCACAGGGCCAGGGAGATCAAAACGTTGGGTAAAAAATAGCTATTTACTCAGACAGGCAGTGCTAAAGGCAACTACCGATGAGGTCTAGTCATTTGGGATTGCATCAAGGCCCTATCGGCTGAGCCAAATCGCCAAAAATGACACTTAGGAACTAACACATAACTACTAAATATAGGATGAGCTAGGACTAGAATAATATTTGGACAGCTAACTGAACACTGCAGGCTCCAGAGGTATATGTGACACGGAGTGGCAGAAAAATCCTGCGCAGATATTGCCAAGAAGAAACAGTGGAACATATGTACAGAACTAACCACATATATTAAATGGAAATAACTACAATAAAACAACGTACTTAAATATCTTATATTATTATCTAATATTTTTTTCTTGGCTCCTCTTCCATTAACAAGAACGCTCGCGCACGTGTGAATATTTTTATTATTTTTATAAATTAAGTTTCATTATGCGGAATCGTATTAAATGAAAAAAAAACATGTAAAATTGACAAAAACCAAAAAGGTGCTTCGAGCAAATCGGGCAAGAAAATTGTTTTAAAAAACCAATTTGGACTCTTTTTTAAGCTCCAGTAAAATCATTAAATACGACTTTTTCTAGACATCAAAATATTATGGGCTAGAGTAGATTTTTAATATAAGTTTCTGCCTTTGTTGTGCATGTTTTTTAGCGTTATTTTAAATCAATCGAATAAATTTTTTACATAAAATATAAACGAATGTGCAGGATCAAATTAAATAAAATTAGATATAAATTAAGTTACAAAAACAAAAGATACTTCCAGTAAAGCTATTTTTTTAAACGATTTGGATTCATACAAATCTTAAATACAAATTTTAATAGTATTAAAAAAAAGTCGTCACAAATACGGCGCTTTGCTATGTTAAACCTGCACGACTGAACAGTCGTGAGGGTTTTAATTTATTGAAGCGCCTTGTCAACAAGAAATTTCCAAAATTCATCAGCAAAGTAGGTTTAAAAATGTTAGCAAGAAAAACATTTTAAGTTGCCTTTTTCGCACCTCAAAAAAAAATACCACGTTTTAGAGAAAAAAATATTTTTGTCAAAATGTTTACCATTCAAATGGTACAATTAATTCCGAAAATGATAAATATGGTTATAACTTTGAAACAATTCTACCAACCTGCAGGAACCTTTTCAATGGTTAGAACCTAAAAAACAACACATACAAATTTGCCTTCAGTAAATAAATTATAACTGGAGGTATCAAATAAAACGTTTAAGGGCTGATTGTTAAATTCATCCTTATATTCTCGCTTATAATGATATAAAATCTAAACTTTGTTGAAATTGGTTAAAGGTAGGTTTTAAAGTTTTTCAACTCTTGTAATAATGTTGAATTTGGATAAAAACTAGAGGTGTTATGAATTTTTAAGTGAAGCACCAGACATCGACGAGAAAAATAAATTGGCAGGGCGAATCCAGCCCAAAAATGTATATTTTTTGCTTATTATAAAAAATCGTATTTAGAAGTTTTAAAGAGTACTTAAAACAATTTGAATTGTGTGTGGTTAGTGATGTTAATCGATAATTATTCAGAGATCGTGAGGTGCGGTCTACCTTTGATGTAGGTTTCAGAAAAACATTTTCTTTATCGTGCCAACGTTTCGATCTTTATTGAGATCATCTTCAGGGCCCGCGGGTGTTTTCATTTATATTTTTTATATATTATATCATATTATTATATTATATTATAAAGATCGAAACGTTGGCACGATAAAGAAAATGTTTTTCTGAAACCTACATCACACCAGACCGCATCTCACGATTTCTGAATAACAATTTGAATTGTTTTTTTAAACGAAAATCATTTTTGCTTACTTTACTGAAAGACGGAGATAATTTTTATAATTTATATAAATTTATATAAATCTTATCTCATTTGATCTCTTGGCATCACAATTCATCTTAAATAATATTTTATTATCTTAAAAAATTCAATTCGACTACCCGCACATATCAAACTCAAACAACTTCAATAAAACAATATAATTAAACATGTTATGATATTTGTTTTCTTGGCTCCTCTTCCATTAAAAAGTGATAATATTGTTATTTGGAGATCGTGAGGAGCTGTCCGGGCTGACGTGACCCCTTCAAAATCCAACATATAAAAACATAAAACAGCAATATCTCACTGGCACTCTCAACACGACACACAAGAATGAAACATCTACACGGAAAACAAACACTTTGAGTGAGTACGAATATTTTGATTGAATCTATAATTTTCTAGCATAGTATAAATTCATTTTTTTCCACATCCTACAGTATTTGTAAAATTTAAACAATGTTTATAAATCCCATGCCCTGAAGATAATCTCAATAAAGATCGAAACGTTGGCATGATAAAGAAAATGTTTTTCTAAAACCTACGTCACACCAGAACGCATCTCACCATCTCTGAATAATCATTTTAGAAAGACGTTTTCTTTATCATGCCAAAGTTTCTATCTTTATTAAGATCATCTTCAGGGCTCAAAGTGTTTGTTTTCGTATAGAAGTGCCATTCTTGTATGTGTGGGCACTCTCAACACGACACACAAGAAGGACACATCTACACGGAAAACAAACACTTTGAGCCCTGAAGATGATCTCAATAAAGATCGAAACGTTGGCATGATAAAGAATCCACACGTTAATATTGTTATTATTTTTTTATGTTTATAAACTAAGTTTCATTATGCAGAACCATACTAAAAAAGAAAAAACATGTAGAATTGACAAACGACCAAAAAGCAAAATAGGCAAAAAAAAATGGTTTTGAAAAACCGATTTGGATTCGTTTTAAGAAAAATCATTAAATACGCCCGTTTCTACCAATTAAAAAATTATGGGCTGGAGTAGTATTTTAATATAGGTTTGTGTCTTTGTTGCACATATTTTTCAGCGTTATTTTAAATCAGTCGATTCGTTCTTTTACGTAGAATAATAAATGAATGTGCAGGATCGTATTAAATCAAATTAGTTATTAAAAAAAAGTTACAAAAACAAAAGATGCTTCCAGTAAAGCTAAAAATTTGTTCCGGTTCAAACAAATCTTAAATACAAATTTTAATAGTATTAAAAAAAAATTTGTTACAAATACGGCGCTTTGCTATGTTAAACCTGCACGACCGATCAGTCGTGAGGGTTTTAATTTATTGAAGCCTTCTTAACAAGAAATTTCGAGAATTCATCCACAAAGTAGGTTTAAAAACGTTAGTAAGAAAAACTTTTATGTTCGTTTTCTCAAAAAAACCTTAAAAACAACGTTGTAAGAAAAAAAATTGTCAACATTTTCGCCATTCAAATGGTTACAATTTATTCCGAAAATCATAAAGATGGTGGTAACTTTGAAACGACACTACCTAATCTTGAGAAACCGTTATAATTGTTTAGAACCTAATAAACTACAAAAATCAAAAATTTAGCCTCCGTAAATAAATCACAACCAAAGATTTAAAATACTTCTTTATCTCACTTATAATGACATAAAAACTAAACGCTGTTGAATAAATAAAACATTTAGCTTTCCAAAACATGTAATGGAACGAATTAAGTAAAACACCGAACTTCGCCGAGAAAAAAATTGCCTCAACGAATCCCGCCCAGAAATGTCTAGTTTTATTTGATAAGATATTCTATATTTATTTATGATATGATACACGATTAATACTAATTTAAATTGAGGTTAACAATTTAGAATATTTGGACTTATTTTAGTGGGAGAGTTTTGGTTTTCTTAACTTTTTCGTTTTAGCACCATGCAAAATCATTAACACGCCTTTTTTTAGCAATCAAAAATTATGGGCTGGAGTAGCCTTTTAATATAGGTTTCTGTTTTTGTTATGCATATTTTTCATTGTTACTTTAAATCAGTCAATTTATTCTTTTACGTAAAATAATAAATTTATGTGCAGGATCGAATTAAAATAAAATTTGATATAAAATAATTTTCAAAAACAAAAAATTCTTCCAGTTATGCTTAATTTTTTTTTTTAACAATTCAGATTCATACAAAGCTTAAATATAACTTTTAATTGTACCTATTACAAAAAAAATGTGGTCACAAATACGGCGCTTCGCTATGTTAAACCTGCATGACCGATCAGTCGTGAGGGTTTTAATCTATTGAACCGCCTTGTTAACAAAAAATTTGGAGAATTCATGGACAAAGTTGGTTTAAAACGTCAGCAAGAAAAACATTTTATTCTTCGTTTTTCGCACCTCAAAAAAAGTCAAAATTTTTATGTTCGTTTTATTTGATAAGATATTTTATATTTATTTATGATGCGATAGAAGCAAAATGTAGGATCCATCAGACAAATTGGCGCTAAACCCATTTGCAATATATCAAATCTCCAAAAAGTCACCAACTTCGAAACCAAAGGCAGAACTACTAAACCTAAGACTTTTGGTCTGAAGAATATATCAGCTCTGAACCAACTGCCAAAAACAGATCCATGAACAACAATAGTTAAGTCCTCGGTTCAATGGTTCAATTCATTCGTTACAGGATCATTGCATCTATTGCAATACCTAATGGCGGAGCATAGGACTAGAATGAAACCACTGCTTACTCCTGAGATATATGTACAGACTGGGAGCAGAACAAGCCAGCAAGAAAATAGCTTGCTTGGAAGAAGAAGCAGTGTACATCAGAAAACCCAAGCCCTGAAGGATTCCCGCAACCCTTAACAAAGCTTTGGAATCTTGAAAAAGCCTTAAGCTTGAGGAAAATCTCTAGACAATGATGGAAATTGCACGATAGATTGTAAAAAGGCAGACTCTTTCTAACCTTAAACCCTAGTTTAATATTTTCAAAAAATTATTATTTATGTTCATACATAATTAATATGCAAAATTGTAATTAAATTAAAAAAACTATTAATGAAAATGTATAATTACTACAAAGGAAACTTAAAAATTATTACTAATTTATTTCTATAATTTAAAAAATATATATATAGTTGAAATTCACAATTCATAAGATAGTAACAGTAAAACATTATTATAATTATTCTTATTTAAAAATTGAAGCTTTTTAAGCCAAGATTCCTTATATGTTGAGTATGATGGTTCAATCCATATTACAATACTTCACTGGAAGCAGTTATGGAGAACTCCCAATTTTTTTTTCCCCATTCTTACAAAATGTCATTCTATACAATTGTGAAAATGTGTTAACTATTATTATTAGTATCAATTTTGCCAAGTTTCTGGAACCTGTTTGAAAAGATCTTGGGGATCTTTATTAAAAAAAACACCTTGATTATAAGAAAATGTCACCATTTTTATTTCTTGACTTTCAATAATAGAATTACAATTTGACAACTTACAATCAGACATGCTTTTTTTTATGTAATAATTTAAGAGTAACATTTCGGACATGAATGATTATACAGCACAAAGAATAATCGCATAAATACAAACATTCTAGAGGTGACTGTGTTGTTTGTGATTTTGAGGCCATACACAGTTGACTTAATTTCTTTTCGTATATTTTAAACAAAAAAAATATCAACAGTTTCAATTCTTAGTTTTTTCTTACCAATATGCAACTATTAACAAGACAACAACAATCTTTATTGCTATAAACAACACAGTTACCTATAATAAATCGTAAATTATAGGTTTTTACGCACAAGATAAGACGACACTGCTGAGATCAGTGAAAATCATACTTATAAAAAATTTGCCTGCCCACTTTGACACAATACACACTTTGTCCTTATTAACATTGAAAAAAACTTTTTTATAACAGGGGCCACCCAAAAACTGCCAAAAAATGAAAACGTTTTTGAATATTAAAAAACTGTTTAATATATAATTTTTTTAAAGAAACTTTCTTTAAAATATTTTATATATATAATTCTTATCTTTTTTTAGAAAAAGATGTTTTATAGAAACATGGTTGAAAATGTATACATTCAACTACTGGGTTAGAACGGAAATACAAAGTCAGGGCCTTTTAATACTATATATAAGAGCACTTACATGTTTTCTTTTTTTTTTTTTTTTTTTACTTTTTTTCTTTTTATATAATATACTTTTCTTTTCATAAAACGTTTGGAAGAATAGTTCTGTAGAACTATATAAAGAAGTACAAAAAGTATGAATGAACAGAGAACATTTTACACTCTTATGTTCCTAATTTCTTAAAAACAAACTGATTGTACTTTTTTTTGGGCCTGCCTTAATAAAGCGTTTTAATTTCTTTTTCATCAGGGTGAAGTCCAAATTTATCTTTTCGTCGCCTTCGCAAATTTGGACTTTCTCGGCAAAACTAAATTCAAACTCACAGCAGCTTACGTTCTGACAATTAGACTTGTTCTGAGAGGGAAAGGGAGAGGTTTTGCTCGAAAAAACTAGCTAAGCCTACGTTCCAAAATATGAATATAATTTAAAATGTTTATACTCTACTAGCTTCTAAGTTAATTTATAAAAAAAAAATATTATAAATCCTAAACACACATCCGTTATTCTCTTTGATACTGTCTTGCTACACTAAAAAAACAAAAAGAAAACAGTGGGCAAGGCAGTTGCAAAAAAAGTCTAGATATGCACCTAAAATGTTTTACCACTCAGCGGCAGTGATTAACTATCCTAAAACCCACTAAAAAAATTGTACACTAAGAAATGTTTCACTTGAATTTGCTCCATTAATTGAAAAAAATTATTTTTCACAAGTTTTTTTTTTTCCAAAGTATCAAGTTAAAAGTAGAACACACATTCTACAAACTACAATTATATATATATAATAATAATTAATAATAATAATAATAAATCTGTTTTTTGTTTTTTTTTATAGATGTACTTTTTATCTATGTTTTGTCCAACCATCTTCAAATTTTAATATATGTTTCACTATGATAAGGTACACAAAAATTAAATACAAGAAAAAAAAATAGCAACACAAAGAATGTCTTGTTTAATTTTTTTGTTTAAATATTAATTGTGCTTTCGATATAAAAAAAATGGAATACAAAATAATCAAAATGATGTAAATGTCATAATTGAAAGAAAAGAGCACATATTTGCCTTAAAAAATAAGACAATCGAAGAGAAATTTGTTACTTTTTCCTTCGACCACATCTTTCAACAGCCATGCCGCTTCTAAACATATATTTTTATCATATTTTTAAAAATAAATTAAAATACATTAAATTGATCAGATGTAGATTTTTTCTTAAGATTAAAGAAAAATTAAAAAGCTTCTTTTAAGGACGGTATTCCAAGTTTTCCTCTTTGAAATTCATGTTTTTGAAAATAAATCTGCCATTATAAATATCTGATTGGCCACTTGTAGCAATTAGACAGCCATTCAACAATCGCTGTGGAAAGATTGGTTAGAGGCAAAAAGTCCACAAGTTATTCGGATCTTATCTTACATTATATTTTTATAATCCTTAAAAATTTACTAAAATTAAAACTAATGATATTTAAAAATTAATACACTATATGTACAGATATATATTTATCAGATCTTATACCTCTCAATTCAAACTAAAAGAAACACAGTTGTTGTGTCATTTTCATCTTTAATGATTTAATTTAAACTAACATTGTCAAGCGACATCAAGATCGAGGGTGGGAATTTAGACGGATTAAATAAATTTTTTTAAATCAACTGTCAGAATGAGTCGAAACTGAGATGGCCAAAAATAAATCGGTGTTGCAATTATACTGTTAAAACTTCACCTACTTTTTTTTATTTTTTATTTTTTTGGAATTGAGCAATGAATCAAAACTTTTACTTTTTGAGCAAGAAGGGGGGATGGAGACCAAATGACATCAACGGCACAAGAAGCTTTAAACTGAGGGCCAAAATTTAACATAATGTTTTCTTTGTGGATCTATTAAATCGTATATGCATACATTTTGACAATGACGTCACAAATTCAAAATACTAAGGCTATAATACAATTTTTTTTTTAAATTGTTTATCATTTACGGATTGAGTGTTGATGTTGATTTTCTTCTTTTCATTCGTCAAAAAAATTTAAAAAATATTCTTAACAAACGTTTGCGAAAAAAACAAAAAACAACACAAGTATGAAAAATTGCTTATAATTTATAAATATAAATTACTTGAAAATACGTTATAAATAAATATTCTCCACTTAACTTATTTAAGTCTTTTCAAATAAAAATTGAGAATGACAAATGTATATAATGGTACAAAATAAAATACCACTTGAGATCTGGCATGAAAATATGATTTTTATTGGATCATGCTGAAATAAACTACTGTGTTATAGGAAAGAAAATAGAATAATTTTTAAAAGTAGAAAAAAAATTAGATAAAAAATATGAAACAATATTTAAACAAAAAAAGAAAATAAGCAAAAATATAAGCTGTAATTATTATTACAACAATAATTTATAACTTATAATTTATCAATAGAAATAAAAAAAATAAAAATAAAATAAAAAAGAATCTTAAAAAGAATCTCTGCAAATGAATCAATTGAATTGCATATCCGGTTTAACCGTAAAATACAGAGAATTGTATCAGACGAAAAAAAAAATGTCTAACATTTGTGAGAAGACTTGTGCACCATTTCAAAACAGCAAAGTCTTGTGCTTAACAACACTTAAAAATCCCGTATAAATATAAATTATTCCAATTTTAGGGAGGCGAAGGGGAGAGGGAGAGAGTGAATTGATTAGTGTGATGTTACGTTGAGATGATGATGTCCACTTATTGGGGCCATAAACTCCTTCCATCCACCCTGTGTCACTTTCCATTCGGCGGAAGTAGTATCAAGCTAAGTTGAGTCCACAAGTCCTTTTTGCAAGACTTTGACCTGATAACAATTAAAAATCAAATAATGAATTTATACAGAAAAAAATCTAAAACAAACCTTTTGCCTTTTTTATAAAAATAAAGAGGCACAGGTATTTTGTTTTTTACCTTCTAATAGTCTGAAGCCAATCTTTAAACATCTGGGAGCCCTCAGGAGTAACTTGAAATGCTGACCTAGCAGCAAGAACAACACCTATGAACTCTTCATGTTCATTCGGTGAAAGGTGATAAAGTTTTGTATGCAAGCATTGAATATACCTGTAATCATCAGGACAAAATTTCATGATATGCCCAAAAAAATTATCTAAACAAAAAATAAAATTACATCTGCTGGCATTTCTGTATGAGAGGTGTGAGAGAGCTACGCAGATGTTGAAGTACCAAGTTGGGGTTGCTTCGTCCTAAGTAATGCGCCGCTTCTATGGCAACTTCGTGGAGTATAAAAGGGGAGACGATACTATTGACGGCGCCGACGCAGAACTGCTGGAGATACTGGGTGCCGAGCTTTTCCGCGATCCGAAGCAACCATTTGACATCATCGCCATAGGGCGGATTACGAGCGTATTTCGTGTTCGGACGCTCATCGTGGACTCGTCTCGCTATCGTTTCCATAGCTAACATCCCAACCCTGTAAGCTGCTAACAGATACTTTACCTGCTTTGATGAGTGCTGAAAAACAATTAAAACTCATTACACCGCGATTGTCGTATAGCTCATTAGAACATAATGTACAGTTGAACTTTCCAAGAAAGAAAAGAAAGACTTCTACCTAGTAACCAAAAAAAGTATAGTTTTTCATCATAGAAATAATGCGTCAGTTCATAAAGAAAATGTGACTTGAAAAGTTCATTGTCAATTATTAAATATTTTCTTTCTCATGGTTCCAAAACTTATAATTTGTACTTATTGTATGACCATTAGCTCAGTATAGGGTGGCCGAGGCAGCACAAAATTTGCTTAGCCAGCTGCCCAAAAGTGGCTCAAAAAAGTCTGCTTACGGGAATGAGAGGATTGAAGATAAACTGATCTGGTAGACTTTCTGTCTTGAATCACAATGAATTTAAAGAAGCTATTAAACTTGAATCGAGTCAGGAGCTTGCCAGTGTCCAACTTAAACCTAGTACGCACTGGGATTCTTTGAGTCGATTCATGTTGCGGGGCAGAGTCGGGGCTGCGTAGATTCATTGTTGTGACGCAGCCCCGTCTCTGCTCCGCGGCAAAGAATCGTGTCCAGACCAAGATTCAGTTCACATTCATCAGTGCCTGCGAAAATGACGGAGGAACTAGCCCTTTCAGGAATTTCCCTTGCTCTTTTTTTCACTGTATATAGTGAATCCAAACGGAGGTCCATTAAAAAACGCCCAAAAAGATCGTGGGTTCGACAAATATTTCACGGCGGGAATCAGCATGGGAAAAATCTTTTGGACACGTTGCGATTAAATGATGGCGCGGGTTTCAGAAATTTTTTGAGGATGTCCCCGACTGATTTCGAAACCATTTTAATGAAAGTTGGCAGTCAAATTTCCCAGAAAGATACCAACTTTCGGGAATCTATCTCTCCGGCCAACAGATTAGCTGCCACTCTCCGGTTCCTAGCGAGTGGAGATTCGTATACAAGCCTCATGTACACTTTCAGGATTTCAAAACAATCAATGTCAGATTTCGTTCCAGAAGTGTGGGAAGCCATCATTCATCGTTTGAGAGAATACATCAAGGTAAGTAAAGAATTGCAAGCAAATAATCAATATTTTTATGTTTGGAAATTATATATTGCTGTAGGTAAGTATTAAAAGTGTAGATAAAAAGGTAAAAATATAACCCAATAATAAACCAAATTAACCCAAATCACAAAGAATCAAGTATGTTTCGAAACAACATATTGAAAACTTTAGGTAAGGCACTGTCAAAATCTTCAAGAAAACACTACAATGTCAACTAAATAAATGAAGCAAGAGCTTGTTTATTCACGTCCACACTGGCAAATGTTGCCCAACATTGAGTCAAAGAATCCCATTCAGATGGGATTCGAAAGAGTCCGAAAATGCTAGCCCGCAACACACCAGATTCATCGTAACAATGAGTCGGGGAAGCCCGGACTCAAGCTGCACGCAGCCGAGACTCTCCGGAGATTCAGAGTCGACTCAAAAAATCCCAGTGCGTACTAGGCCTTAGGTGATGAAACCATTTGCTCAAGCTAATATTTAAGACATGGATGCTTAGCAAATAGGTTCCTCATAACTTTACTGACTATAGCAAGCTTAGGTTCTTTTGCCTTTTATTGATTTCATGGCCCAAAGAAGACCATCTCATGTCGGACTGTCATTCAAAAAATGGATCCTGTACTGTAACACTATTTAGTTGTACCATTGGTTGCCAAATGATCCTGTCCCATTGTTGAAAAACCAAATATTTAGCAACAAAAAGTGAAGCTTTGTGTTTGGGGGAGTACAACAGGGATTGTGCACTACAAACTTCTACCATGTGGCCAGACCAAGGTAAGACAAAACAGGACAAAAAGAAATTGTAAATAACTCATTTGTACATTTTATAAAATATACAAGGCATACTTAATATGATGTGGTTGTTGCAAACAACAGCTAAGAGTTCTGGCAGTGACCAAAATAATCAAATAAAGTCTATAACAACAAATTATGTCCAGACTCTCCCCTCCATGTTAGAGGCAGGAAAGTGAGAACGGATAGTTCAGTCTAGCCTAGGCATTGGAAGAAAAACAATAAGAAAAAATCCAGCTGAAAGCCAGTCAAATCAGATTTGTATCCACTTGATTTTTATTAATATAAATTATTTCTGTTGTGTGGCCCATTTTCTTTTATGGTTTTTTTGTTTGGTATTTTCCATTTTGGTTATCAAGGTTGATTATTTTAATTTTGCCCCTCAGGCCCATATTATTCCCATGGTATCTAATTATTCTTATATTGTCAGTTTGTAAGCAAAGGTTCATGTTTTGTTTTATATTTTTTATATAACGTATCTTGATTCATAAGGAAATACATTTTTGTTTTAAAAGAAACAAAATAGAGGTGTCCCTCTGCAATTGTGGTCATATTTTATTTCAAATCAAAATTCCTTTGATTTTGAGGCAGATCACCGGCCTCAAGGGGGTTAATCAAATCTTAAAAGACGGAATATACTCATTCCTTAAAAGACCCACAATAAGTCTTTCTTTTCCACTTTCAAAAATTAACTTCCTGCACCTGTCTCCAAAGGCCCTGTCCTAAGTTAATTAAAACTTTGAGTCAGTGTCAGAGATTCTTTGTGTCAGCGTAAACCAATCGGCAGAAGGTGAATGATTGGTTTTTTCATATGTGCAGAACTTGCCGCTTATACAATTACTGTTGTAAATTTTATGTGAAATAAATGCTAATAGATTCAAGTTCATTATTAATTGTAGCTAACTTAACACTCTTGATATATTTTTTTGTGGATAGCCGTGGGGTAAGCATCACACCCAAATACTGTAATCCCTTAACATTGGTTCCAGAAAACTGCTGTTAAATCCGCAAATGTTGAGTCTATTTTCCTATGCTATAAGGTTAAGTTCCATGATACCAAAAATTGAGATACAATTTAGATGTTTAAAAAAACATTTACTGAAAATAAACGTAAAAGAAGACAACAGTGTTTGAACATGTTAACTGTTGTCATTGTTTGTATTTTTTGATGTGCAAAGAAATAACTATTAATTGTTCTTTAGGAATTTCCATATAAGGATTTGAAGCGGACTCAACATCCCTTTTAAACTTAACAATTCGATTTAAAGGTAAGTTGAAATCCATTGCTTTTTTAATAAGTTGGTCCCTCAAGGTTAAAATTTCCCTGAACTGTTTTGAAGAAAACCTTTGGCCTGCATAAAAAATGTAGCATGTCCAAAATTTTTATTCTTCCACCAAGGGTATGGGCGGTTTTGTTCCATTTTGTTGTCCACAAGGCAATGTGACATCAACGAGAGAATAAAACAAACTGAAAAGTAAGAAGGAACAGTATGTAGAAAGCGGGCAAAAGTTTTCTGAGAATCAATTAGTCTCCAATCCATTTTTTTATATTTTCGATACAAAAATAAAATTGTTTATACAATTGATTCCCCCTCCCGCGAATAAAGAAATTGGACTTCCTCAAATTTGCTGTTCCCATTTCTTGCGGATTGCTCAAGTAGGTCAATATTTATTTGTAAATCAACTGCATAATTTAGCAATTTTTAATTAGTTTCTCCAATCTTGGCCCCCACATTGCGACTCTTCCTTTAAGTCATTTGATGTATAGGGAGAACAGAAGCGGACTCAGTGGGCAGCCATGTTTTATTCCTTAGTTTTTTTGATCAGACCTTTTTCAGGACAAAAATGAATGAAAAAAATGAAAGTGTGAGAGAACAGCCATGATACACCGATCTGCCTACCTGGCCAGACCATCACTGTAGAAATCTATTCAAGCCAACTGCAATGAGTATCTCTTGCTCTGGCCCAGGAACAATCTGCTCTCATGTACAGAAAATGTGTAATTTTTCACTAGGACTGCGAGACCTCATTCAGCCAGAATGACAAAATGATAAAGATTGGTTGGGAAGTCCTTCCATTCTTTCCAGACCTTGCCCCATTTGACTTTCAGGTTTTCTTAGCAAAGGACAATCATTTGCAGAATTGGGAGTATGATAATCGCCAACTGAATTGAAAATGATCTGATTTTTTTTATAGTCCCAGGACCCAAACTTTTTTAAGAAGGTTAGGATTACTGGGCTACTCGTATCATGTTGGGAAAAGGTTATAGATGCTGATGGAGACTATTTCCATGAATAAAGTATTTCTAGACTAATTTGTAACATTTATTAAACCCTTTCAACCCGCATGAACTGTTCGCATTACCTGGTAATAACAGAACAATTTTATTTTCCTCACCACTATTCCATTTACTTGACTAAGAAAATTAATTCTAATAATCGGACATAGACAATAAGTTTATAAATTCTTCAATGAAAAAGTCTCTTAAAAGAGAACAAAAAAAAATCAGGATTCTTCAAATTCACCCTTATTTGAAACTCTAAATAATTATTGTAGAAATTACTTATAAATTTTCTTCAAGATTGAAGTATAAAATAGTACTCACTTGTTGTTGGGTAGGTCTGACAGGAGCCGGCACAGTAGGCACCGCTACGAGAGGCTGTTGCATCACAGGAGCCAGAGCCTGGGGTTGTCCAATTGTCGCCTGCTGCGGAGTAGTTGTGGTCGTGACCTGACAAACGAACTTTCCATTGCACATAATATACTTCTAATATCAAAATAATACAAAGTTTGTAAATTGTGTTAAACCAACTGCTTAAAAATAACTGCGCTTCAGCAATAACAGCGATAAAACGTGCAAATTTTTCTAAATAATTTTTTTTAAATTGTCATGCCTTATCAGTGACATCTTTGCAGTGGTTCAGTACTAAGGGGTAAAAATTAATACAATACCTGCACTGGCCAAGGGTTTCCTGGAGGCGGTGGCGTGGAAAAGTACATAGGCGGTGTTGACAAATGGTACATCTGGGTCGGTAGGATCTGCGGATGGCCTGTCGGTGTGGTTCTCGCCCTCTGGTAGCCTCTTGGGAGAGTGAAAATCGTAAGAGGAACGGAAATCGGCGGCCCTACATACTGGGTAGGTGGAGGGGGTGGCGGTGCCTGAGTTGGCGTCGTTTGAATTGTAGTTGCCTGCTGCGGCTGCTCCACCCAAATGGCAGGCGGCAAATAATTCAATGGGTCAACTGGAAATGTCGGCTTCTCAAGGGATGCTTCTTCCCCTTGTGGTGAATACTATCAAGAAAAAATTTAAAATATACTATTTCTAGAAACTTACACACACAAAAAATAATATAAAAAATACCTTGATATAGAGTTCAGACCAAAATCTAGCTACTTGGAATAACACATCTGGATAGACTCCACCACCTTTTGCAGCATTTTCAACAGTAAGACAAGATTGTTCCAGCATCCTATCTGACTGTTCCTTACACTAGAAGGAAAAAAAAATTACAAATTGGGTATCCCTCAGAAATTAGATTAAATATACTGTTCAGCCCGAAATTATACCCAACAAAAATATACCCATTGCTCGGTGGAGCTGGGGAATCGGATAAAACTAATTTAAAAAATATTATACCTGTTGAACTTAAATGAAGAAATCAATATAAAAAAATGTTTGACGCTAGCCAAAATAAAGAGGAAGAAACAAAGATGGATAATTACAAATTAAAATTAAAAAATAATAAAACTCCCAGCACAAGAGAAGAGAGGAAAACCAAAATTTAATGAACCTGAAAACTCTAGGTACACTCAGAGGGTTGATTTCGTGTTAAAAAAAATAAAATAAAATAAAATACTCTCAAATATATAGAACAAAAATTAACACCTCTATTAGAAAAGAAAAAAAAACAGTTCAGGAAAAATTAGCACATCCCCTTTACAGCTAATCAAATTAAATAAAACTAATTGTGGTTAACCAACAAAATGGCCAAAAAAAGGAACTTCTTAAAAAAAGAAAACACTACAAAAAGCCTTGTTTGTCAGGCTTCCCTCTCCTCTCATTAGGGTAAGGACAAAATTTTACAATGCGAGGATTAAGTATTTATTTTAACAGTACCTGGCAAATAGCTCGTTGAATCTCATTCGGATTGAGTGCTGCGGCATGAGGCAAACAAGAAAGTGCCAACTCGGCGGCGGCCCGCACCATATTCCTATCGCAACCTCTTGATGCCTTATCGGCCATGCTAGCAGCTTCAGGGGGTGTCAAATGGTTCTCCCAAGTGTCCTGCAAAAAGGAGATTGCAGGCGCACCGATCTCCATCGCTTGTCCTGTTTATCCAAAAAAAAAAAAAAAATTAGCTACGTTAAACACAAAAGAAATAATTCTCATTTCTTTTAAGGTTTAATTACCAGTAATCCAAGATACATGGGACGAATAAGTTCGACTGAGCCAATTGGGGCTCACACAATTGTGAAGGCCAACTGCGTACAGACCAAGTTGGAAGGCACACATGTGGAGTGCACGATGGGGTCCGTGGTGGCTTTGGTTTGTCGAAGCTTGTGTAAACAAGGACGTCGAACTGCTACCACCCGCCTTCTGCAGCACTGTTTTCGCCAGCTCGAACATAAAGTGTGCGCTCGACTCCGACGGCTGATTCGGAATCGATGGATAAGGTCTTTTACTCTTGAATCTGTAAGTGCTTTAAAACCACGACATTATTCATCTGGCCTTTCAAATACAAGGGGACAAAATATTGTTCTAATGCTTACTTATTGCATTCTTTTGTCCTCATTTGGTTGGGTGGAATGTTTGACGTCGAAGGTTGGGGAGGAACGTGAGGAATTGAAATTGGAATAGACGGAATACATTGGTCGTTAAGGTCTGCAGGACCAGCCAGAGTCCTTGTTACCAAGCCTGAAACGATATTAAAATTAAAAACCTTCCTTTGTAAAACAAAACAAAACACTCACTGATATTACTTCCATCGGACAAAAGCGAAGGAACATCCATTGTCGGATGCTCAAATTCATTGTTCATGTCGAACCAGGTGGACGATGCACTCCTAACAGGAGGATGAGAAGAGTAGTACGCAGTGGAGAGTGGTGCTTTAGTCAACTGGTGCACCTCCCGGTCCATGAGCTTCTCCATGATACGAACGACTCGTGATGGATGGTCTTTATAATGGACTAATAGTGTGATCGCCAATTCTCCTCTGTTAAAATTAAAAAAAAAAAATAATTAGAATTTTATTTCTGAAACGAATTTACATTTATAAGAATCTACCTTTGTCGCCTTGTCCCTTCACATAAAAGAGGATGGTCAGCTTCAGAAATATTGGCCTTAAGGCCAAGCGCTGCGGTCGCTGCTTCAAATCCTAGAGACTCGTCTGATTTCGATCTCACTTGTGGATGTAAAAGCTGACATTTTGATTCACGCCCTAAAATTCAGAAATAGTTTACAGTCAAGGAAGCAAGAAACAATGTTGGATTTTTTTTACCTCCAGGCATTGCTAAGGCATCAAGAAGATAACTAGCAAGCATTATAGGTAGAAGAGCCTCGCCACGTGTTGTCAGCGTGCCTTCCCAAAGCATTTTAGCTTTCTGCCTTATAATTGTCATTTCGTTTTCACCCAGTGGTATCCTTTTTAACAAATTGACTAACTCTGATTCTTGATTAAACAATTTGACTTCGAGTGGCTTTGTCGTCGCCGGAGGGCGTGCCATTTCGAGTCCAAAAAGGCCGACCCTGAATGCCAAGTGGTAGTGTTCAGGATTTTCCGCCAAGACAGTGCAAAGAAAGCAGCACTTCAAGAGTGTGTTTGAGGCCAGGATGCTAATCTGATGTGAAGCTGGATTTATTTGCTGAAATGACATAATATATTCGTAAAAAAAACCGCAAAAATGTTCAAAAATTCATTTTATAATTTAACTAATAATTTTTTTAAGAACTTTTTTATGGCTAGATATATTGTTTGAAAAGAAGAAATGTTTCAATAAGCCTTACTTTCTTTCTTTTTCCCTTTAGAGGAAAAGGTGGTAGATCGACCATGAGGTTTGGAGGATTTGCCAGAAGTTCCTCGGCTAGTTTGACCCCGAGAATACAAGCTTCGCGATTATGCCCATGTGCGTGGAGGCCTTCAGCCCTCGCGAAAAGAACTTCCCATGGGTCTTTCAAGCCTGTCACATTCGGCAGGGCTCTTTCCTGTTGGCTCTCTTTTTTCTCATTCTTCATCCCTTCTTTGTCCAAAGACTTTGGGTCGTAGTAATAGACGATGTACTCATCAGAAGACTGTTGGGAATCGGAGTTGGACGAGGAGAGCGAATCGTCTTTCGAGAGCCTTCTCGGCTCCGGTTCGGGCACAGGGGCCGCCTCTGTCTTTCCGGGATCGGACTCGTCGCAAGAAGGACTCTCGGAAGCAGAAGAGTGCTTCAAAGCTTGAGCGCCTTCACAACAACTCGAAGATTCACTGCCGCCTGAAACGAAATCTGGTTCTATTTGAAAAAAAAAAAAATCAGTCAATAATTTTATAGTTACTAATCAGATCTTACCTCCTTCTTGGGAGTCTTCTTCTGCATTGGGCTGATCGTGCTCATTTTCACAGAAACCCTCACTCGATACTGAAGATCTATTTCCAGAAGCAGAACAGCTAATGCTAATTCCTAATCCATCTTGAGAAGGACTAAAAAAATTTCAAAAAAATTATTTTAACTATATTTTCACAAAATATTATATGTATAAATTGTAAGTAAACTAACTCAATATTTCCACAGTTTAAAAATATAATGCCAAATAAGTATTTTGCAAATATTTTAAAAGTTTTTATTATAATGAAATAAATTGTTTAACATACTGGATTCCAAATTGTAGTTGTTTCTGATCCATTCTCCAATTTCTTGTGTGTATGTGAGACCAGTCAACAATCATGTGTGGCGCGAGGACGGCCTGAGATGAGCAGACCTATAAAAGATATTAAAAGTTATAGTTTTTGTCTAGAGTCTAAATTTGAATCAGTCTAATTACCGGATTGACTGGATTAGCAGATTTTGAATCTGTATTCTTAAAGCAGGTGATCGGCTGGGTGAGCCAGATCGCCGCTCCGCCCTGGTAGGTGACGCCGGGAATCGGGTAGTCCTCCCAGTCTAGCTGGCAAGCTGCGATAGCCGGCTTGAACCCAGGAAAGACCTCTATGCAAGTTGCCAAATTCCTTGAACTGCGTTCTGTTTGTATGCACGAAGTGGGGTGCATCGCTCGGTTCTTTTCGACTTTCTCGATTATCTTCATGTGCCACTCGTTGAACTGGTTCTTGAATAGCTGACGTTCCTGAGGTGAAAGGGCGGGGTTGAGGGCGGCCAGCGTCCAAAGAACGACGACCTCATCGCAGAGAGAGGCGCAGGCATGCTGCGTCACCGAGCTGTTCAGGCTGCTATGTTTTCCCCCTCCTGATACCCCAATATGAAGAGCCACTTTTGTGTTAAACCATGAAATCATAATCTGCAAAAAATTAAAAATGTTAACAAGGAGAGTCTTAAAACTATTGTTTTCCTTTTAACACAAATAAAACTAATTTTATTTATTTGTATTCTATAAAATTAAAAAGATCTAAATTGTTCGAAATAAACATATGAGTTGATGTACAAAAATAAATTTTAATTAATTATTCTTTTTATCTAAGGCCTCACCCAAGAGCTTAGATAGATGACGAATGGATTAATAAATTTTACATATGACTAAGTGACTTTACCTGGTCACAAGCAAGACATTCATCGGTTATGATCTGAAGAAGAGGAAGGGCGTTCCTGTCGCTTCTTTTATACATTTCCCTGACAATGGACAATAGATTCCACATCCCTTCTGGTTCTCTTCCTCTCAACGGTCGAAGCAGGCTTGTCCATTCGGACGCCGCCGGTGGAGCTGTCGTACCTAAATAATTGACATCACTGAAACAGGAAATTTTAAATTAGACCTTACAATAAAACCATGTTTTCGACAGTCCCCTAAATGTGTGAATGTTACCTACATAACAATGAATTTATTTAAGAGAATAAGAGAAGTTTTGCATGAATTAACTAGCCGTCGATAGCCTAGAGGTTATATTTGGTGAGGAGAGCAAACAAAGACAAGCAACACAAATATTGGTGATTTCAAGTATAATTTTTAATTAGTAAATAATTCCTTTAAAGCAGCTCATAGACGATCAATATTATTGCACAATATTTTGGGTTGTGCAATTTAATTGATCGTGTGTAGATGATATTGAAAGTTTGTGCGATACATTGCATGATTGACAAAAAGTTGAAAATATTGGAAAATATTGCACCGTCTGTTGGCATTATTGTGCAATATCAGTCAGTTTGTGAAGTACCAACAAGTGGTACAGTTCGCATCACCATGGGAGAAAAAAAGTGTGGCAAAACAATTCGTTTTGGAATTTATTGAAAAGTATCATGGCCTTCCGGTTCTTTGGGACATCAAATGTAAGGATTACTGTAACTGAGCCAAGAAAGGAGAGCAGTACGATGCTCTATTAGAAAAATATCACGAAAAATACCCAACAGCAGACAGACAAGTGGTCAAAAAAATAAATTCTTTGCGAACCAACTTCTGCAAAGAATTAAAACGTATTTGAGATGCTGAAAAAAGTGGTGCCGGTGTGGAGGATGTCGAACCCTTGCTTTGGTACTTTGAAGAAATGAAGTTCCTTGCAAATCATGAAACACCTACTGCTTCCGTCAGCACGTTAACTGTCTTCTTTTTCTTTTTCAAGCCTACACCCACAGCAATTAAAACACAACACAGTTCGGTATCACTCAACATGACCTCACAAGGTGAAAACTTTCTAGCGCTTCCAGGAGAGTGATTTGCACTGCACTTCCAGAAAGTTGCACAAAAAGTCTGTGCTCGTGGTTGCACAAAATATTGCACAAACTTCAATATCGCCTTCAAACTATTCAAGTTCATTGCACAAACAAAATTTTGTAAAATATTATTGAACGTTAAGAGGCAACCGTCAAATTATTGTGCAATCTATATTGTACAATAATATTGACTGTCTATGGGCCGCTTAAAATTAAAGGCTTAATACCTGACTATATGTTAATAGTCTTGGACAAGGAGGTCGTCAAACCATTTTACAATTTTTTTCCGTACTATTATTAAATTTAAAAAAACCAAAAGCTGTGCTGGGATTCAAACTCAGAACTGCTAGTGTGACAAATAAAATCAAACACCCTAACCACTTGGCCAATGTGGTCGTCTAATTCCTAATAAAAATAGAGTGTTTATGGCTGTTAATAATTATTTATTATTTACTATTTTAAGTCTGATGAAGTTAACTTCTTTTTTTTTGCCTTAGCTTGTTGTTCCCACCTCTCCAGAGAACACATCTATCATGCAGTGGGTTGGAAATATTAACTTCAGCCCAGAAGTCCATCAGCACCCCAGGTATGCAGGCCAACCACCCCCCAAGACAAGACCAACGCCCCTAATCAGAAGTGGAGACCTTATTTTTTCAATCAATTAATTCATTCTCAATAGTCCTAATCAATCAGACATTGGTAAACTTCTTAGATCCAAGATTAAATAGATATAAGTTGATCAAAGGTCTTCTTTTCTAGGTTCTTCGTATTTGAGTACATCATGATTCGCTCCAAGATTACTGCAGTTTGGAAAAAATTATGTAGATAATTTTTAGATGTCGTGAGGCTCGTTCTTAGTCCACAATTTGAGCAAAAGCCAAGGAAATGTAAACCCTACTGCCTTCTTTCTAAATATTTTCTCTGATGCTCTGCTATTAATTTGGCCCATAGCTTTGGTTTTCTAAATAATTGTTTGCACTTCATTTACTGGATAACATTATTTCTTGATTGTACGAGATATTTAAATATTACTCAGTCTATTTGTGTCCCTCAAATTTATCACCGATGATGCCTGATGGAGATAAGCAATTAATCCAAAAGGCAATGAAGTGGAAAGACAAAATTGAAAAAAAAGCTTGAGGTTTCTACTTATCGTTATCTCCTTTATGAAGCACTCTGATCTAAAGTCTAAAGCTAAATTTTACTAACAGATTGGTTTTTGTTGACTCGACGGATTGCTCTATCAGTTCAAAGGCAGGTGTTCACAAGGCAGTGCAGGCTCTGCCGTTGTGTTGAAACCTGTTGGTTGGACTCGTGGTTTTACCATGTTATGTTTGAAACTGATACAGTTTGAGGCCAGAGAGGGTAGAGTGACCTAGTGACGGATTGAACTGACATTGAACAAGCTCAAGATGTTCGACATCGTTCCAAGTGAGACTATTTTGCCCGGTTGCTGATTAGGCAGTTGATTGGACACAAAAATTGCTGTTTTTATGCAAAGACGTTGGGAAGAAAAATTAGTGTCACAAGCAGGATTTGAACTCACAAACTTGGGCTAAATAAGCCAGTGTTCTAACAACTTGAGCTATTGTAGACCTCAATCCCCTGAGACACCGATTCTCTCAACCGGCTATTATTTAAATTTCCCCTTAACCGCCAATCTCTTAGCATCATTTAGTTAAATTACAATGTACGATTAGTAACAGGGAATTTTTAATGTAAGGGTAAAATCCTTTGATTATACTTATTCAATTAGTTATCTGTTTTATTATTAATTATTATTTCCAATTTTTATGCAAATGCGGTTGGGAAGAACAATTAGTGTCACGAGCGGGATTCGAACCCACGACATTGGGCTTAATATGCTGGTGCTCTAACCACTTCAGCCATCGTGACTTCGATCCCGTCATCCTCCAATTCTTCTACGTCTACGTCTATGCATTAAAATTGGAAATAATAATTAATAATAAAACATAAAACAGATAACTAATTAAATAAAAACCACTGTGTGAACTTACCCTATCACTCGATTACTTTTTAGCATTGGCAAAAAAAAAAAAAAAATTATATATATATACACATATATTTTTTTTTCTAATATTCAGAATTTAAATTTTCACAGAAGGAAAGAACAATAAAAAAAATTACTGTTTGAAAACAAGTGTCAAAACCCAAAAGCACCCAGTGCCCTGAACCAATCGTTTATTTCAACTAATCTAGCAAGTATATAAAAATATTATTACGAAAATTAAAAATAAATAAATAAAATAAGAAAAGTGACATAGAGTGTAATAATAATTTTGTATTGATTTGGTTTATCAATAAATCAATTACTTTTCATTTTTATTATTGTTATAAACAGAACAACTTAGTTCGGTTTAGTATTAATTAATATATATTAATTAATAAAGTTGAATATTATTAATTAAATTCACTAATTTCGTGGTCCGCTTGACCAATTAATATACTACAATTAATTAAGGTTTTTAGTTGAGATAAACACGTTATTAATTGTAGATTATTAATTAAATAAGAATGGCTAATATTTTATTACAATATTGTATTGTTTTGGGCTGTTTAATAAATTATTTTACATTGTGGCTATCATTATTGATAGTAGGACACTTTTGTTGAAAATATATTTATTTCAGGACAATGTGGAATTATTCACAGGGTGCTTTCTCATTCGACTTCTTACACCAACCCCCAACCCCTCAATAAAATCTTAAATACCCCATAAAAGTGAGGTGCAGGTGTCTCTGTGTCATAAATATTTCTTCTAAAGGGCATGTTTATTTCCAACAGCTGTTTAAGCCAGATCCCTGTAGGTGACAAAAAAAAATTCCCTGGGGACCATGTGGACCTTGGCTTGGGGTTGTCTAAAGCTCACCCAGGTAGAAACATAACAGAAAAAATAAAACTACCAACACAAAACCTTTATATTTACCTGAAAACTATTGGCGACGGGACACAAAATTTGATGAGAATTTTTTTGATGTTATCGTGGAGAGTTTTTTCGTCTAGATACCATGATGTTTGTTCATTGACAGAAGCACCTGCAGTTGGGTCAGGAGCTCCACAAACCTAAATTTAAAAAAAAAAGTCATAAATATCCATAAATTTATAAAACTAATGAATAACTTACAGAATTTATAGCTGAAGGTTGAGAAGATAACAGTTCGTCTAAAATACGCTGGGCTGTGGGAAGTATCTGTTGTGGAAGTTCACTTATTAAGTACTGTGCGAATTTCTGCAACTGGTCTCTATGAAGTCGTGAAAGCGACTCGCTTACAGGTGCCCTTAGGCAAACCTGATTCGGCATGTGTATCCGGTGAAGGCATACTGCAACAATATGCGAACACCAGTACGCGTTCGAGTTACAAGTGCAATTGCATGATGTGATTCTTCTTCTGTCGAATGCGACTGCAACGTTGTACTGCCCCCTCTGGCTGAATGCCGCCGGAATGCATACTGTCGCACTTAAGTGAAACCCTATAATCATGTTCATTATTATATAACTTTTTTTTTTTTTTTTGATTTTAAATATTACCAATTTGAAGAGGATCCTTGACAGCTCTAGATTTAAAAAGGTTTTCTCCTCGCTGGAACTCTTCAGCACTTGAGTTGGCCAGACAGGAATAAAGCCTGATGTCCTCCTCATTGTCAGGGAAACTCCAGTATGCGATCCGAAGCTGGAGCTGCTCTGGCACCGGCGGGTAGAAGTGTTCGACAAGCTCAAATGGAATGTGAGATGCAACACATCTTGCAGCCAATTCACACAAGGGTGTTATTTTTGAACTGTCTGTAAGCCAAAACAAATTTATAACTGTGAATACGGAATATTACCATTATTATTGCAGTTATTTATTTTTAATTTTTTTTAATGCTAACATATTTTTTAATTTAATTAAAAGTACAAGAATCTTGATGACATGAGAGAAATATAAAGCTTGAGCTTTCTATTAATTGTTGTATGTAAAAAAAATTAACATCACGTTAAAACAATTTTTTTATTCGCGTTAATAGGACATGATGGACTATATTGGAATACCATATCCGGCATTGATTATTTTTCTTTGTTTTCGGTATTGATTTGTCCCTGCGCTACTCATACTTAACTACTTTCCTCAAATAATTAATCACATGGAGGCCACCTACTTACTTCCCTTTTTGTCCAAACTGCTTCAAACATTTGTTAATTTTGCTGAGCAAGTCAGGGTTCAAAAAAAAAAATGCCATTCTATTTTCATTTTTATAGTGAGACCGTTCACATTTAATTATCCAAAGAAAATTTATTTTTTCTTAATTTATTTTTATAAACAATTCTCAATTATCATTTATATCATCATATATACACAAAAAAATGTTTTATTATCAAGTAAAATAAAATTAATAAACCCATTTCTGATATGTCAATTAATGGCAAAGAGTGGAAAAGGCAGAGGTCGAATGGCAAAAGCAACTTTTACTTGACATTAGATTCGGGACGTAGGAGAGAGTGAAAACTTTCACCCGAGCTTCCCCCTTTTACTTTCTTTTGAGCCCATTAAATGAGTCCCGCACAAAATGATTTTTCCCATTAAACAAGAGGAGGGGGGAAACTGCAATTTCCTATTACAAACTAGGAAAAAAAAGACTTGCATAACTGGACATCAAACGCATATAATTTATGAATTTTACGAAATATTAACAGTCTTCCTGTTTGGGGAAGTTGAAAACAAAATATTGGTTTCTTCTACATTTGACTACTAAAAAAAAAAATTACCAGTAAACTGAATATTGTTTACTTTTATTTGTTTTCTTTTTTTAAATAGGTCACCAGAGTCAAATTGGTTTCTACATAATGAAAATAAGTAAATTCTTCTACAGTTATGAAAGTAATTAAATGTTATTTACCCTTTCTACTCGACTGCTTGTGTAAATATACAAAATTAAATAAAACTCAAAGAGTTGTTTCAATTTTAAAAATGTGATTTTCAAGTCTTAACAAAAATAAATAAATTGTTTTAAATCAAATAATGCAAACAAAATAACAAGCTTGGGAAAAATGTTAAAAGACTGTTAATTATTAGATTATAATTAAAGAATAGCTAGCTCTTTGATGTGAGGTCTCCAAATTAAAAAGACTACTGATTCAAAGAAGAAAACATGGTTTGCAATTTTTTTTTCTGCATCAAGCGGAAATAGTTAAAATTACAATAAACCAATGGACAAACGACCAATCTGGACAAGTGCAGAGATATATTTCACATCACAGGCAAAAGCAATTGTAAACACACTGGGTGAGCACATTTGATTTTAAAAAATAATATCACCAGAGCTAAATATAAATTACATAAAAACTCTACAGCTCAAATAATCAGAGAAAACTATAAAGCAAGGAAGATCCGGAATATGGATACCCAGCAAATATAGGATCAGAGATCGTGGTATCGTGGGTGAAGGAGCTCTGTGGACTTGTACAAATGAGGAGACAGATCTTATACCAAGTTAAGAGAGAATACCAAGATGATAAAAGTATAGGGATCCTTATTGAAAAAGACCCAAAATTCTTTCCAACATAAAAATCCAGTATCACAGTGCAAGATGGCCCATTACATCAAATTTTAGTTATGAGATCCTATTCCACCAATACTGCTTGAATTTTTAACAGAACAAGCCCAAAAACTGGGGCATCAGTTAGAAAAGACCACCCAATACTTTCCGATGATGTACTACAAATGTCAATATCTGAGAATTGTCCAGCCTAAGAAAATAAAATGGGAAAGCGCTAGTAAAACCCAGGAACGGAAACATAAAAAAAGTTATATTTCTAAACAATAAGAAAGTAGAATGGTAAGATGTAGCTATATTATCTCGGCCAACACGTATCTTTTAATAACAGGGTGTAAAAAGGAAATAAGAAAAGTATCGCCTATCATAAAACTGGCCTTTGAAACCTATTCTGAAATAATAATAAAAATATAAAAAGATCATGTTTCATAAGAAAGATCCTAATTTTTTGGTTCCAGCGATGGAATGAAAAATCAATAGTTTGTGAAAACAACCATGAAGACTAGAAAGGGGTATAAAAGAATAAAAGACAACAGTGTGAAGAACAAAGTAAAAGATGTTAATATTTCATAAATTAAAGAAAGCAAAAAAGGAAAATAGCTCAGAACGCATCTGGAAATATGAATATTAATAGAAAATATGAAAAAAGATATGGTACCAATTAGCAGATTATTATTTTAAACAAAAACCATTAAAGAATAAATTTAGAATGTTAATAAAAAGGTTAATTGTTTTGCTTAAAAGAGAAGTGAAATGAATAATCTATGCCTCAATTTTTTTTATGTTAATGATGAGCACTCGTAAATACAAATAAAGTTCTATCCTCCCTTTATTATTAAATATAAACTTTTTTTGTTGAGAAATTACATGTGAAAAAACAATTTAAATATCAGGGAAAAAATGCAAGGGCTTCTCTATAGAGAATCACATAATTTTAAACAAAGGAAAAAGTTAACTATTGTAAACTATGATTTTTAAAAATCATACTTGCGAAATAGGCTGGGCAGAGCTCTAAGATAGTAAAACTGTTGATAGGTGGACCTTTGGAGGATCCTCACCCGATTAAGGATAGGCCTTATGAGGTTGACACCTATATTGTGTACAAAGCCAGTGTATATGCCCTCATGGCCATTCCTTGGCTCCATATAGAAAGCATGAAGAAATACCACCCCAAACATATAAAGAATTGGACATGAGCACGGCAAGTATCTGGGTCCCTGTTATAGATAAGAATCTTCAAGGAAACAGGGTGGTTTTATTGTATATAGTACTGATATTTTGTGTCCCTAGTGTGTTGAGAGTGAATGTATTTCTTAGTGTGAATGTGTAGTGTGGGTAAGTCCATTTCTTGCAAAAGCCCTCAGACAGGAGGAGTTTAAATAAAAATTTTGTCGTTCCAGTTACATTGATGTAAATAAACCAGTATTCCTCCAGGCGTATTATGCCCCGGACTGCAGAATGGGGTGGACTTTTCCAAGGGTACACCGTACCATGTAAGGTTTTTATCCACCGCCATTGGGAGCAGCCTATTGTAAGAGAAGAGGGTAATAAGACCCAGTTTTAAGCAGAGAGCCTGGATGTCCTACCTGGCTGGCCTCGGGGGCTGTGCTTGCTCAGCGGGGGTCGCCCTCCGGCGGCTGTCAGCACCAAGTAACGAAGGTGGCCTGACGTGCACCAGGAGAAAAAAAAGCTAGTATTATCTTTAATCCAAAATATAAAGTGTAAAAATTTCCACTTTTTCCTACATGAACTTAAAAAAACCTAATAATTAAAGTTAACTTGCAATTGTTAATTAAACTCCTCGTGTTTTAAGAGAAAAGTGAAAATTTTAAATAGTTTCATGTAAGTTTTGAGTGTTCAATATAGGGGAAATTTTTGTCGTTTCAACTACATTGATGTAAAATAAACGTATTTATCTTTAATCCAAGATTTTAAAAAATGAATGTGTGTAAAATACTGAAATAATTCAATTTTTATTATCATAAATGAAATGTGCAAAATTTCTCTAAATTACTGGACAAGTTATTTACCTGTAAGATTTCTTGTAAAGACCCCAGACCTGAGGAGCTTAATTAAAAATATCAAGTTATTGAAACAATAATACCTTCAACTATTAAATTTGTTTATGAATTTACCAAGGATAAGTTGCCATTTTGAATATTTTAAATAGTTTTGAGTGTTCAACATGGGGGAAATTTCGTTGGCCCAATTGCAATGTGAAACAGTAAACTGGTATTTACCTTAATCCAAAATATAAAAATGAAAAATTTCCACTTAAATTCTAGGTAAACTAAAAAACCTAATAACTAAACTTATTAGTGTTTGAATAATCAACATTCTCGTGTTTCAAGAAAAAAGTAAAAATTTCAAATATTTTAAATAGTTTCATGTAAGTTTTGGGTGTTCGTCATGGGGGAAATTTTGTCGTTCCAACCACAATGATATAAAATAAACTACAATTTATCGTTAATCTAAAATAAAAAAATGTATTGTAAAATATTGACATAATTCTATGTTAATTATCTGTTTCTAGAAAAATGTGGTCACTTCGAATATTTTAAATAGTTTTCATGTAAGTTTTGAGTGTTCTATATGGGGGAAATTTTGTCATCCCAACTACATTGATATAAAATAAACTAGTATTTACCTGTAATTCAAAATATAAAAGAGTAGAAATTTCCACTTTTTTCCTAGATAAACTTAAATAAAAACTAATTTTTAAAGTTATTGGTGTTTGAATAACTTACAATCATTAAACTCTTTGTGTATCAAGAAAAAAGGGGAAATTTTAAATATTTTCATTTAAGTTTTGAGTGTTTGGCTTGAGGGAAATTTTGTCATTCCTACTACATTGATATAAAATAAACTAGTATTTATCTGTAATCCAAAATATAAACATATACATGTCTAAAATATTAAAATAATTCAACCTAAATTATTATTATTCAGATATCGTGAGATGCGGTCAGGTAAATTATTATGAGTTGTGTAAAATTTGTCTAAACTACTTGACAAGTTATTTACTTGTAAGATTTCTTGCAAAAGATCCTAGACACGAGGAATTTAATTAACAATTTTAAGTTATACAAAAACTAATAACTTTAATTATCAGATTTTTTAGGAGCTTGAGACTAGCTTACATACGAAAAAAGTGGAAAATTTGAATATTTTAAATAATAAATTAAATTCATGTAAGTTTTGAGTGTTCGACATGAGGGAAATTTTGACATTCCAACTGCATTGATATAAAGTAGCTAGTATACATCTTTAATCCAATATATACAGAAATTTCCACTTTTTTCCTAGATAAACCTTAAAAAACCTAATTATTAAAGTTATTGGCGTTTGAATAACTTACAATTGTTAAACTCCTCGTGTAGCAAGAAAAAAGTGAAAATTTTGAATATTTTAAATAGTTTCATGTAAGTTTTGAGTGTTTGGCTTGAGGTAAATTTTGTCATTCCAACTGCATTGATATAAAGTAGCTAGTATTCATCTTTAATCCAAAATATAAAAAAATTGCCTTTTTTTCTAGATAAAACTAAAAAACCTAATAATTAAAGTTAGTAGTGTTTGAATAACTTAGATTTGTTAATTAAACTCCTCGTGTTTCAAGAAAAAAGTGGAAATTTGGAATATTTTAAATAGTTTCATGTAAATTTTGAGTGTTTGGCTTGAGGGAAATTTTGTCAATCCAACTGCATTGATGTAAAGAAGCTAGTATTCATCTTTAATCCAAAATATACAGAAATTGCCATTTTTTCCTAGATAAAACTAAAAAACCTAAATATTAAAGTTAGTACTGTTTGAATAACTTAGAATTGTTAATTAAACTCCACGTGTTTCAAGGAAAAATTGGAAATTTGGAATGCTTTAAATATTTTCATGTGTTCGACAGGGGAAATTTTGTCGTTCCAACTGCAGTATTTATCTTTAATCTAAAATAAAATAAAAGTATTGTAAAATATTGACATAATTTGATGTTAATTATTTTGAAAGGGTGTAAATTTTGATTAAATTAAATAGTTTCACGTAAGTTTTGAGGGTTCGATATGGGGGAAATTTCGCGTCCCAATTGAATTGATATAAAACAAAAATTAATTTATAATTGATAAAAAATATTTAGAAATCTTGAGACTAAGCGTTGTTAATTATTGTAAATGGGTTTGAGTAAAATGCAAATAAAAATGGGGTGAAAATCGTATTTGATCCAACGGAGTGACAAGTGTTCCAAACAATGACCCCTAGGCGAAAAGTGGGGGGACTTCAGCTGGGGTCAGAACCAGCGGCGGGGTGGGGGCGACACAGGAAGAATTTATTTGTAAACAAATTCTCTATGAGAATATAATTCCGACCGATGAAAAATGACGGAGCGAGAGGGGAAATAAAAGGCGGAGAGCCGGGTCAAGCAACAGATGCCCTTTGTTGACGGGTAGAGTAAAAAAGTCAAATCGCCCTTTGTCCTACTCACCGTTGGAGGCCTTTTTCCCGTAGTAGACCGTGTTGGCGACGGTCGGCCTTTTCCAGCCTCTCCAGTTGTTGCAGGTCGATTCCGGCTCGGTGCTCCAACTGCAGAGCGAGTCCTCCTCGAACCTGTCAGAGTCCTCGAATGAGAAAGTGTCGTTCTCCTCCTGAGACCATATGTCGAGCATCTCCTCGATGGGCCTTCAGCCGGTGTTTGAACAGGAGAAAAGTCGCTCGAGATGTTTATCGGTCGCGAAAAGCGACAGACGGTTTAGACGGGCTTTTTTTCTCTCTCTTAAGACCTTCCTTCCGGGAACATCTTCGGATCAAAAGGCGAACGCACGGACACAATTTCCCTCCGGCTCTGCTTCCGTTTCACTCCTCGGTACACGAAAGCTTCAAGTCCAGCGGAGGGCTTTTCGTCCGTTTTGATCCCCCTAGGAAAAGGAGAAAACCACCCTCTGAATTCAGCCCAGCGACCGTCGAGCGACAACAAACATGGCGAAACTGGAAACTGCCGAGGGCATAGCCGAGTCCAGTGTTTACGACCCTCGGTACACCGTCCGACACGAAATTTCCCTTTTTCCTCTCAACACTCAAAATCCCTTTACCAACATAAACCTCATTTTATCTTGTACATAATTAAACATTCTTGCACCTCAGACATTCTTGATCATTTTTTCTCTTTTAACTACACTTTTATGGTCTAATTAGATCAAAAAACAGTTTTGAGATTAAGGGAAAAAGAGAAAATTTGTAAAATCACTGCAAGGGGTCAAGTCTGGCCAACCTAAAAGATCGTCAAAAAAATATATAAACATATCCGGCCAAAATTAACCAAAATCACCCAAAAATAATGAATAAAAAAATTTTAAAATAAAAAAATATCAGTTCATTATTGCAAAAAAATTCAGTAGAAAAAAGAAACGAGAAAGAAACCAATTGTGAAACCTCCCCGGGGAGACGAATGTGAAAATCCACCAGTTTTTAGAAGTAAACAATGCCAGTTGAAGAAAATAAAGAGCTGAGGGATTTGGTGACCGAAACTTTGCAGAAAAAGGGCGTCCTCGGGAAAGTCCAGGTTTGAATTGGATTGGGAGAAAATGTACAGATTTTGACGATTTATTTTTTTAAAAAAACGATGTTTTTTACCCCTCCAGGCAGAGATACGGGCCAGCGTCTTCCTCGCCCTCGAAGAACAGAACGTATTCAAGGTAAATACAAACAAATAAAATATTTACTAAACAAAACTCTAATATTTTACTATTAAGTCATGGACAAGCTTTTATCGCTTTGTAGTTTTATACTTTGTGGGAAAAATCGATATTTAAACTGCACACTCAATGGGAAAACGATTTTCCTGGAAATTGTACAAAGCAAGCTTCTTTTTGAACTAGCTCTAACGTGTCGTTCGTTCGTTCACTTAATGATATTCAAGCACTTAACACATTATTACACATAAACTGATAAAGTAAGATAAAACTTATCAAATAAATAGGTATATAAGTACTGCAAGGTTTGATGACATCTTAACAAAAAAAATACCATCTGATCAACATGAATTCTTTGCTGTGATCAATTGTTATAAAGGGCAGCATATTACTCCGACCAGTACAATCAAATTTGTAGGTATCACTGTTGATCAGAAATTAATCTGCCTTATGTCAAACAACTAAAAGCAACAATTTCAAGAATATTGGATATGATTTTATGATTATTAAGGAACTTCCTGGGGAGCAGGTCGTAGCACTGAAGTTCTACAAAGCTTTAATTCTCCCTCGTTTCGACTGTGGTGATACTGCCTATGATTTCAACCAAAAATGCTCGGCCCTGTGCATCATAGAACGCTTAGGCTCTGTACAGCCGCAGTTAGTTCTACCCCTATAAAAAGTACACTCTCTGAAGCTGGGGAACCCAATCTAAATAGAAGAAGACGGTAGCAAGTTGTGTCGTTTTATTTAAACATTAGGGCAAAACCAAAACACCTACTTAATCACATAAAAACTGATGCTAACATTATTCTATAAAAACCACCTTAAACTGCCTAAAACATTTGCATATCGAGAAAATAAACATCTTTCACGATCCAATACAGATCCAGATCAAACCCAAAAAATAACCCAGGTGCCAACCTCTGCCTGGCTACTTCCAGAAGTTAAATTTGATTTTTCTCTTACAAATACGCGAAAACAGGGAACAAACCTTATAGAATTCAAATAAAAATTCCTTGAACTCAACCATTGTAACGATGATGCTTTAGTCATATACACTGATGGTTCCAAAAAATTACATATGGTAGTTGTTATTATGTAATTGAGGGTCACTCTTCTATTTTTGATTTACCCTCACTTTTCAGGTCATATAATGCAGAAATGCCCCGAACAATCCCATCATCTCAATGTTAATAAATCCTGAAGATATAAATTCTGCTTTTAGTCAAAATCAATGGAAACAAACCACTTCCAACAAATTACAAAATATAAAAGAGAGTGTTAGACTTTGGGAAAAATCCTTCCAAACTTCCAGGCGTGACGAGGTCATACTATGTCGATTACGTGTAGGGCATGCAAATATGAAAAAATCTATACCACCAGCATGCCTTTCTGGTGAAGATGTATAATTGCGCCCCCTCCCTTTTATCTGAGGTGGGCTCATTGCCCCAAAATCCCTGGACTATAAAAGAAAAATGTTAGGGAATGAACAAGAAAAAATTGATCAAGTTTTCAAAAGTCTAAAATTGAGAAATCTCTATAAACTTATATAAATTTCCAAAGAAATTATGGCTGTGTTCTTCCTGAGGGCTGGGGGTGGGCATTTTTGCTTCCTGGGAAACTTGTTCCTGTTTTAAGCCAGAATGGGCAGTCAGCTTGGAGGTGCTTACTGACATTAACACCCAGACAGACCCTCAAACCTCGAGCCTTAACTTAACTTTAAACCTGGGAGTACAATCCCACTAGGTACAGGGACATGTTTCCCATGGGACTTACTGCTCGCTGCTTGCAGGGGGCAACCCCCCCCCTTCTGCGGGAGCAGTCCTGGAAATCATAGCATGGAAAAAGAAGAAATAATTATCTGAAGAAAACCCTTACCATTGGTAGTACAAAGGCGATGAGAACTGTTGATGTTTTTAACCTATAAAAAACAAATTTCACCTAGGATGAATATTCGGAAAATTTGTTAAAAGAGTTAAAAAAAGTAGTTGCACCAAATGTAATTTGGTGAAATTGTCATGTATTAAATTTATTTAACTGTGACCTATAATAACAGTTGACTCCCATTAATTATAACCTTACCTTGTAAAGTGCACTTTTTCCTATGAGCTTAAGCACTTTTCTCAGTGCTTCTTTTCACACTTCTATTGGTGTTGAATTGCCTCACCAATGTGGCTGTACCAAAACAAAAAAATTTAATTGTATAATTATTATATAATTATATTATTAAATTATAATAATTAAGTAAATGTGTGATACTAGTTATTGTTACAGAATTATAAAAATAATGTATAATTTATAAGAAGAAGTATCATATTGGAAATAAATAACTCATTTTGTCCAAACTTCAAATTCATATAAAATTTAAATTACTAACTTTAGGATAATTTTGTCAACTTACAAGCAAATAAATTTTAATTCCAATCGTTTAACAAGTTTTTGAGAAAAGTGCACAAATGTGATGGGGTTTTTCCTATGTACACAGATAAAGTTGGTCTGCCCTTAATTGGATTGGATTTTATATAACATATTAATAAAAAGGGTTAATTTATTACAAACATAATAAATAATAATATAAGTAATTGACTCAGAGACAATTTGTTTTCCTTTCTGATCAAATTTTTAAGTCCCTTAGAAAATGCAAAACTGCATTGTACACTTCCAAATCATTTAATTGCAGATTTATAATTTAACGGCTTGATCAGCTTTCCAATTCTGTACAGCCTGTCCAACATTTTTGTTCTTTCATTATAATACTTTTTCCATTTCATTATGAGATGTTCCAGGTCTTCCCTCTCTTCGCATACTAAACCTAGGTCACTCCATCTTTGTCCTATTTTCTTCAAATATGTTTCACTTATTCCGTGGTTAGACCTGATTCTATTTATTGTAGTGCACACTATTGTAGACATTTGAAAGTTAAGGAACTAGCTGATCATCGAGTTTATATCCAGGTAAAAGTTACCGTGGAGTAAGAGTCTAGACTTGTTCCACGTGACATATGCTGCCTTTGAACTCCTCCACTTGGCTGGGAGATTCTAAATTTTGCCCTTTATGTGTCAATGTCTGTTTCCTCCTGACAGAGTTAGCATGTTACTGTCTCTGCTTTGCCCATCTTATTTATATTTCAATTATAAGGTTATTTGAACCCTCAGGGTGCCAGTGTTTAAAAAACAGCCCAGCTGTAAGTATGTCGGGCTGAATGTAGGGCCGGTGGATTCGAACCCGGGATCATTACCTTACAGTGATGAGCGCCGTGTCAAACCCTAAACCATTGCGTCCACCGTCACCCCTTTTTTAGATAGTAAGAGGGCTGTGACCTCTATCCTATGATTTTCCACTCATCCTGCCTGCTTCCTAAACCCATTTTCTCACACCATCTTCTTACTATATTTATGGTGTTTTGCATCTGATTTGACATTGGCTTATTAATTCTGCTTTACAGGACAAATCCCCTTTTATTAACAGGCAGCTTAAAGACTTTGTCAAAACAAGCGATGGCAACATGATAATCTCCTTAGTCCGGGAATTCCTCGAGTTTTTCAATCTAGAATTCACTTCAATGGTATTTGACCCAGAAACACATGCAGGTATTGATTATACATATGAAGGGAGGCATAAATTGGCTAAAGATCTCATGCTCAGCAATGAAGAACAAGGTATAGTAAATAAAAATACGGTATGCAATGAAAATGGTATATTTCTTATCCTTTGATAGAAAGCCGACCCCTCTTGAGCCTTTTGATCGGTGCTATACAAACCAACAACATTCGAGCCCGAAACGGCATTAACTTCGCCAAAGATGCCACAAGAGAGAAAGAAGTCAACCTCCTCGATTTTGACAAGTCGCTCAATGGTATAAATGGTGATTACCCATTTCAAGGCGATGGAGACAAAGTTAAGACAGATGAAACTAAACAGCCGGAAAATAGTCGGAATCAAGAACGCACCGGACAGTATGGCACATTTTAAATTAATTACAATTATCATAAGGAACGCCATTTTTATTGTATGTAATAAATTACAGTTCTAAAGAATCTCAAGGAATGTCTTCTTTATCCTCATTGAGCAACTTGCCGCCATTGGGAAAACCACCAGGAGGAAATTTGGAAATAAACGATTACAATTTCAAAGCCATCCTAGATATTGGTCTGAGTAAGTCATAATTTATTACTAATATATTTATTATTAAATTTGTGAAAAATGTTAACACTTTTTTTGGTCAAAGCTATTTTAAGGCTTTTATAGGGTGTCGGTGACCACAATGGTTTAGACTTTGACATTGTGCTCATCATTGTAAGGTAAAGGCCCTGTCGTTTAAAGGTGTAAATCTGACATAGTAACACTTTTTTCTTTTTTTATTTCTAAAAATGCCAGCTTGCTGAGGGTTCAAATAACCTGGGGGTAGTAGTACCCTCATTAAAATAATAAATTAATGGAGTTAATTATTGTCAGGTATCATTATTGTCAATCAATTCTGAAGGAACATAAAAAGCTTTGTTTAAAATTAAAATCTAGCACTCCAAATCATTTTGGTTTCTGACATCCTATTCTTCCTAATCTTCCCAAGACAAAATTCTACTAAAGCTCTTAAAAGTTTTTATAATTTGGTCATTTCTGATTATCTTGGTCTACCTAGCTTTTTTAATCTGTCATTTAATGCATAAACTAAATCTGGTAAGAAGTCAGAACCAAAATGACAGCTTGGATGTCTCTTCATGCGACACAAACTTTTGAGGGCTGGCTGAACACCTTCAGTACACTGCTTAATTTAAGCTGTTAAACTGCAGTTCAGATAGTGGTGCAGATAAATTGTAGCCCTTTTTTAATCAAAAATCGTATGTTATAGTGCAGAATTATTGGGGCTGAGGTTTCTCAAGGATACATCCTTGGCCTATTCCTTTTCATAATATGAACTGCCACATTTCATGACTTTGGTGGTTATTTACTTGTACTAATCTGCATCTTTTCCTTTCAGGTACTAACGACGATGAAGAATTTTTAACTCAGGTTAAAAAAGACAATTTGGAAGAGATCAAACCTCCCAAGGTTGGTGTCGACAGCGAAGAGAGCGAAATTGAAGAGGATCTGTCTCGAAATTCAAACATTTCTGCACCCGGGGTAAGAATGATGAGATTCCCTTTGTATTATAACACAACTTTCAACATTGAGTCTAATTTTTCAGGATGATAACAGCATCGATATCACCATATCAAAAGCGAGCGGACATGGAGATTATTTGGAGGATGTATAAATTTTTCCTTATTTTTATGTTAACTTTTTTAACTATTCCAAGCTGTGTAGAATGTATTTAAAACACACATAAAATGGGAGGGAAATGGTGTCATTTTAGGTTTAATGATTGTAGAAATCTCGATGGGAAAAAGTATGCTCAATTTTTTTTTTCTTATTAAACTGAATATCCTTATCTGGAGGATCATAAGTGCCCTTAAATTTAAAAAACGAAGCAATGTTGAAACGTGATATACAATTCCTTTCTTTGATACATTCGTTATAATATTGTGATCTTTCAATATATATACCTCAAGCTTTTGAACAAAAATTTCTTAGGAGAAATTTATCCAACAGTTTAAAAATTCATGTGATAGTCGTACCTCAGGTAAATAAGAGGTGCTTTAATAGCTCTTTTCTCGCAATCTTTAAGATTACGAGCCATAAATCTAGTCCTGTTTGCCATATCTACTTTTTTTTAATCTTTTTAATATGGCCCATGAATTTGTTTTTTTTTCTCATCCAAATGGGCCGATCTCAGACTGTGTCAATTTTTGGTGGCCTTTTTAATCAGCGATTGTATTTGTAAGTAATATTTAAAAGGTTTGATCTGTGGTTGTGTCAGTAAATTTAGACTCTAAATAAGTATTTTAATTATAGTTTGTCTCTGTATATTGATTGTTCAATTTTTTTTGTAATAAAATCAATCATTGTTTTAAGTGGTGTGTATGTGACTCCCAGCCCCTCCCCATTCCAAACAGTATTGATTATTCTACCGAAAAAAATTTTTCAGTACTCAAACAATTATATTTTCAGAACAACGAAATTTAATTTTTTGATATGAGGTTGAAATACAATTTTTTTAACTTCTAACTTCACTGGTTTTAGTTGTGCTTAAAATTCTTATATTTTAGTTTACAATATTACATAGAATTTGTATTATATTTTTAGCTTTAGAGCATTTTTTCCACAGAATAAAAGTTTATAATTTTTTTTCATATCATCATCATCATCATCAATAGTAGAACCATTATTTTTATGTATGGAATTGATATATTCACTCCATCATCAATATTTACTTTCTTTCTCATAATTTGTAAAGCGATTTAAAAACAGATTTTTATTTCTTTTATAATGACAAGTATTTAATTTTTTCTTATAAGGCAGTCAAATTCTCATTTATCTTCAATATAATAAAATTAATTTTGTTGATATTTTTTTTAGCAAATTTCAAAAATTGATCATTTTCAATTAAATCTTAAAATTTAATAAACCGAGAAAAATAATTTTCAAGGTATAGCATAAAAATTACTTTTTACTTGAATTCTGGCGTTTTATGGCAATAAATGTAAATTTTTTAAAATCAAATTTCTAACTGTAAGAATTTCTATTAGGGGATACAAAAGCAAACAGAGCATAAGAAAAAGTATGTTTCTCAAGAAGGAGATGGTGACAAGAAGTCTGACATCAGTGTGTAAGTTCAGATTTTTTTTCTTATTAATCTATTATCTAGATTTTAAACAAAAAAACTTTTTTTTAAAAACCAGTGGATTTAGTCGATAAAAAAATTGTATATTTTTAGGTCGAATAAAATGTCATCTGTAGGCGATTCAACCAAGGCTAAAAAAACAGCCAAATTGGATTACGGCCCAATGACCACGAATATTCTCCCACCTGCACAGCCCGATGGAAAATGTAAGGAAAGACGCTGGAAATATTCTTTTTTTTAATAAAAAGAGTGGATTAGAAAATGAAAAGTTTCCATTGTTCCCTCAAAGTTGTAATTTCTCTAAAGGTAATTTGTCCAACTCGACCTCGAGCGAAAGAGCTGACCTCGACCATAGCAAATGTGATACATTTAGTGAGATTGATGACATAGAAGAGGAGTTCTTATCAAGTTCCAGCGAAAACCCCGTAGGTCTTGGCGAAATTCCCTTTTTAAACCTAAAATTTCACAATTTTCCCAAAATAATCTAAAATTTCTTAATAAATAAGATATCTGTAATCGCCTGTTATCTTGTTTAAAGGACAACCAACTTTTCATTATGGAGTCCCATGAGAAAAATCCTGAGCCGAGAGAGAAGAACAACAAAATCAACGACATGTTCGGCAACGTAAAAACGTATGGTATTTGTTTTATTTGAGTTTAAGTCTAGGGATCAAAATTTCACATTTTCAACAGTTTGCAAACGATTGACAACGCGGTGACACAAATTGTTAAAAAGAAAATCCCCCATTTGGCCGATTTGCCCCTTAAAGATGAAATAGTCATTATCAATCAGGTCGACGATGCAAAGGAGTAAGGAGGAACTTCACAACTATCTAAATAGTAAACTTTCTTCGACCTAATAACAGTATGATTGTAGAGTGGCCCATACTAAAAAGAGTTCCGATTCGTTGTCTCGCATCCTTCCCGCTGAAAGTAGAAGTGTCGCAAGTGTCATTACGCAGAATGACATTACAATAAAAATCAATGAGTACTCTCACCCCAAATCCACTCTTACTTTATATTATTGATTTAATTTATAAACTGTTATTTTTAGAAATCCAAAAACTCAAGATGTCTCAGACAGGGTGATGGTCGGTGGCCAACAGCTCGACAAAGAAGAATATAAGGTAAAATCTAGACAATTTAAACTTCGTTGAAAACTTAAACAACGTAGAAATAATATTGAGCATTTAGAGCATTTTTCAAGAATTAGAGAAAGGCCTTGGAGCAAAAATCGAGTCAATATTCATACCCGAAGAGCCTAAGATTCAAGTTACACTTACATCACCTACAAAGTAAGGAAAATACATTTTACTCTACAGTTATATTAAACAAGAAAAAGTTATTCTGAAATAATTTTTTACCATATAACTTTGGTTTCAAATTATTTAAAAATATAAACAGATAATTATTTACATAACGAATATAATAATTAAACCATAATGGCACAGGTGGTCTATAATATGCACACATTTCTTAAATGCTTAAACTTAATGAACACACACACAAAGTACAGAGAGAGAGAGAGAGAGAGTAAAGTAAAAGTAGAGACAGAGGAAGCCACCCACAAAAAGTGAGAGAGAAAGAGTGAGAAAGATACATACAAAATTCAATATCTGGATTAAGGAACTGAATATTATTCTTTCTTACAAATTCAACTTATAATTTTTTTTAAATCTACAATCCTCATTGCTTTTCTTTCCTATTTGACCTTCAGAGGTATTGTATGTAAAATTTCTTTCTTGACGTCAACAGGGTGATGAGTCCTGTAGGTTGTTTCCGATCATTTTTGGCCTGCCTACACTCGTTATTGATAAAAAACCAAAATTTCACAAGAAACAGGCGTGGATAAGCAGACCAAAAATAATCAGACCAAGATATAAACATTACTGAAAATAGAACAAACTTAAGCATCGAGAAGCTTAAAAAATACATATTTTTCCCCAGGCATGATAGCTTACAGTACGGCGATGTTGGGAAAAAAACTGTCAAGGAACAAAAAGAGAAACATTTACACGGTAAAGAGAGATTTAATTAGTTTATGTTGTATCTTTTTAATTCATTAAAATTACTGCAGGCTCTTTAGAAAACAGAACTGCAAAATCTGACCATGAGTCTTCTGATTCTCCTTTGGTATATTTTACTTTAGTTTAAACTCACTTTTATAAAATTTTAATAATTTTTCTCTTCTACAAAAGTCGAAGTCTCAAGATTCGAAGGGTCATGTCAAGAGGTCTTTAACCAAATCACCAGAGCAAGAGGTTTGTCTATTAAAATTGTCATTTGTGTTTAAATTAATAATGAATTGTGTTCCCCAGTATAAAATAAACGATAATCAGAAAACCTCAAACTCGTCGAGCCCTAAAAGTCACAGCAAAACTGATTCTTCCCACTCACTAAAGAAATCTGGTGGCAAAGACAAATCTGACAAGGTATCACTACATTTATTTTTATTTAATCTATTTTCAAACTTAACTATTGAAAGTATATTTCCGTCTTGATGAACGCAAAAAGCTTGATTTTGCTTTAAATTTGCAAAATCATAAATCAGAAAAACACGAAATGCGCATGTAAGTTGAAATATTTATTTTATCAATATATTCTCAATAAAAGTCACTGGAACAACTTTCTATCATCCAAAGTGAAAGCAATTCACCAGGAAGAAACAGAGGAAGCATCGGAGAGAAGCTTAAACAAGTCGATACGAGTAACATTGATTCGTTTTTTAAATTCGGAGTTGGTAAATATCAAATTGTTTAAACTATTTTTTCATTATGATCAAATCACCATTACGAAATCGGGCAGATACAAGTTATGAAGAGTTTTGCAAATTCAAAAGTGAAATGCTAAGGCTGAAGGGATATCATGCCAACAAAGGGGACAACGACAATTCATCATGTTCTTTAACATCAGTTTCCTCGGTAAATTTAAATATTTAGAATCTGAAAAACTTTGAAAGTTCTTGGAGTTTTATTAAATGTAATTTTTAATACTAGTGCAGCAAAGGCAAATGTGAAGAGAGGATATTGCAAAAGGATGATCATACAATTTCACTATCTTTGTTAGTACACATTATTTTATTTCTAATTTTGTTTTTAAAGTAAAACAAGAACTTTGTTTCAGAGAGGGAAAGCAACCATCGTTTCCAAAAGTCCTTCCTCCTCTCAAGTTAAGCACGTCCAGTAGGAAAAAAAGCAAACTCCTATCTAAGGACAGTGATCATGGTAAATCTAAAATTTTGTTTAAACAAAATAATTCCTTCGTTGAAAATTATACAATTCCAGCTTCATCGCTCAAGGAAGATAGTGAAAAGTCGCAGTCGTCGCACACAAAAAAATCAAAAAGTCGATCCTCCGAAAGCAGGCAGAACACAATTGACATAGAAGTTTCAAATATCAGCACTGAGCAGGTAAGTTTATTTTATTATTATTATTTACCTATTAAGAATAAAAAGATTGGTTTTGTTTTTTTATGTATTGTATTTCCAGGATGAAAAAACACAGGATATTTCGCATTCTTCTGTCAGCTGTATTGGAGATTATATGGAGCCTGTTTCTCTCACGGCCTTGCCTCCTAGGTTTTGATCGTAACTTAGAAGTTTGCCAACCCTCCAGCCCTGTGTTTTTCTTCAATTTAGTAAATATTAGACATAAGCACAACATCGAACTTGGCCCTTTTTGTGAATACAAGGAAGAAAAAACATAATGGAAAGGAAATAAACATGGATTAGAAGTACTTTTTTTCTATTATTGTATAGTTTATTAATTAAGTGTAGAAGTTCAGTAGAGAAAAATACATACAAACTTAATGAACAAATGCTTGATGGTTACATACAATAACATGTTTACTTTTACATAGATAATTTCTCCCCCCCCCCATGAATAAATTAATCAAATTTCAGCAAATGTTAAAACCACAAGTGTTAAGAAATTACTTTATTGAAATTTATTTTCTATATCAATACATTTTGGCTAAAATGATCATTTTTCTTCATCCATTCATCAGCCACATGAAGGAAAATCATTATTTTAGACTTTCCCAAATTTGCAGTTTCCATTTCTTGCGGATTGCTCAAGTAGGTCGATATTTATTTGTAAATCAATAGCATAATTTAGCAATTTGTAATTAGTTTCTCCAATCTTGACCCCTCATTGCAACTCTTCCTTTAAGTCATTTGGTGTATAGGGAGAACAAAAGCGGACTCAATGGGCAGCGATGTTTTACTCCATAGCTCACCTTCATTTTTTGAATCGGACCTTTTTCAGGCCAAAAATGAATTTAAAAAAAGAAATTGTCTTCAGACCTCAATCCCATTGGGCACATGTGGGATGCGTTGCAGAGATGGCGTTTCGATTACCATCTGCAGCCAGTTGACATGCAACAACTGAGTGACCATATTAATTACTTCAAGTAATTCATTCATCATAATCTGCAAAAAATTAATAAATGTTAACAAGGCTTATAACTATTGCTTTTCATTTAACACAAATAAAACTAATTTTATGTATTTGTATTCTATAAAATTAAAAAGATCTAAATTGTATTAAATAATCATAGTGGTTGATGTACAATAATGAATTTTAATTATTTATTCTTTTTATATAAGGTCATGGTTGAGATGAAAAAGTTAGTGCCATGAACGGGATTTGAATCCATGACCTTCGGCTAATACATCACTGCTCTAACCACATGAGCTATTGTGTCGTGGGTTCGAATCCCGCTCGTGACACTAACTTTTTCATCTCAACCAAAACCTTAGATAAAAATAATAATTGATTGGAATAATTAATATTGTCAATTATGACCACTAAGCAAATATTGATTAATTTAATAATTAAAAGAAGTAATTATCGGGTTGTCCGGAAAATAATGCAGGATTTTAAGTTTTCATTAAAAAAAATCTATATAAAATATTCTGTTTACGTTTACAGGATTACTCATTTGTATGAATGTCAACACTTATTAATCCTCTTCCAAATGATATTGTTTGTTTACCTCTGTAGCATTCCGCTACTTGGAAATAATTCAGTCATCCTTATAATGTCAAAGCGAGAATTTCGTACGATTTTCTTTTACGAGTTTAAACTCGGCCGAAGCGGAGCCCAAACGGCTAGAAACATTAACCAAGTCTGGGGCGAGGGTTGTGTTAATGAGTGCACTGTGCAAAGGTGGTTTAAAAAATTTCGGGAGGGAGATTTCAGCCTTGAAGATGAAGAAGGTCGTGGAAGGCCTTCCTCTCTTAATGATGATGTTCTGCGATCAGTGGTGGAAGAAAACCCCAAAACAACTGTTCGAGAACTTGCAGAGCAACTCAAAGTCAGTAAAACGACCGTCGCTGACCACCTCAAGGCGATTGGAAAAGTGAAAAAACTCGAAAATTGGGTTCCACACTCATTAAACGATCGCCAAAAAAATCAGCGCTTTGATGTTTGTGCATCACTTCTTTGTCGAAACAAAAATGACCCATTTCTGGCCAGAATTGTTACATGTGACGAAAAGTGGATTCTGGACAGTGGCTCGACAAAGGAGAAGCTCCAATACATTTTCCAAAGCCCCCAACTCATCAAAAAAAGGTAATGGTTACGGTATGGTGGGCTTCATTTGGTTTAATACACTACAGCTTCTTAAATCCTGGCGAAACCATCAATGCTGAATCATACTGTAACCAAATTAATACCATGCATCAGAAATTGGCAGTAATGAAGCCCTCTTTGGTCAATCGGAAAGGGCCCATTTTGTTGCATGACAACGCTCGACCACATGTGTCACGTGTAACGTCACAAAAATTATTGGAGCTTGGCTATGAAACTTTGCCTCACCCACCCTACTCTCCGGACCTCTCGCCTACTGACTACCATTTTTTTAGACACCTGGACCACTACTTACAACACATAATATTCAAAAATCAAACGGAACTGGAAAATGCATTTATTGACTTTATCAATTCTAAAAATTCTGAATTCTACTCAGACGGAATTAATAAGTTACCAACACGTTGGGAGAAATGTATTGAGAAATTATTTTGATTAAAGAACATTGCTTTAAAGTAACTAGTTTCTTTTTTTTTGTTTAATACCAAAATCCTGCATTATTTTCCGGACAACCCAATACTTCACTAACAGCTCCCCGTGACCTTCATAAGTCCCTGAGAATTGAATCCTGACTGCACATTTGAAAATATGACAAAAAGAGGGAAAAATTCAAACGGTTGTAGGTTGAGATGGGGAGTGGTGTCCTAGGGGATCGAAGTCACAATAGCTGGTTAGAACAGCGGAGTAATGAGCTGAAGGTCGTGACACTAAATTTTTCATCTCAACCGAAATGAAATGGTTATTTTTACATACATTTGGCCTTGCAAATTAAATTCTTTAAAAGGTTAAATTAAAGCTTTGGATGGCAATAGGATACATTAGTTTATGAGTGAATGTTTGGAAATCAGAGCTTATAGTACTCCGAACAGGTATATAGCTAACCTAAGACAGAAGGTTTGAATGTTAGGACATAAAACGACGTTAAAGTGCCCTTAAAAATTAACAATAATAATTAATTTTTTTCTGAAACCTACATCACACCAGACCGCATCTCACGATTTCTGAATAATAACAATAATAACAAATTTTTTATTGGATCAAATTTATTGGAATTCATGTATTCATGAGATTTAGGCCTTTTCCCAAATTGTTATACCATTGAATGTTTGCCTGCTAATGTTTGAATGAGAGTTGTGCGTGCAAGATTTCTTTTTTTCAGAAATTTTTGAGGCTGCCGGAGAAGAAAAATGAAATGGAAGAAAATACAAATTGCGGGGTAATAAACTACAATGCCCAAATGCCCAAAATTGCAATTTAAATAAGAAAGATAGCTTTTAAAAAAATGGGTAAAGAAAAAGAAGTGTTATTGTGTTTTGTTTCTTATTATTGTTATGTAGAATTAGTTGCTAGTCTGACTCTATTATTATTATTATTATTATTAGCCATAAAGCCTATGGGAAATTCACCAATTTCGTGGTCCGCTTGACCAATTAATACTTTACAATTAATTAAGGTTTTTAGTTGAGATGAAAAAAATCATCTCACGATATCTGAATAACTATCGATTAGTGACCGTTAATCGATAGTTATTCAGATATCGTGAGATGGTCACCCGACCGCATCTCACGATATCTGAATACCTATGGGAAATGTTTAAATTGTGGAACAAAAATACAAAAACAGAAATAAATTTTGTATGTAATTTAAAATGGGAATTTTGCATACATTTGGCCTTCCAAATTAAGAATTTAAAAGGATAAATTAAAGCTTGGATGGCAATAGGATAAATTAGTTACGAGTGAATGTTTGGAGTCAGAGCTTTATAGCACTCAGAAGGGATATAGCTAAACTAAGATAGAAGGTTTGGGGTGTTAGGGTGTGAAATGACCTTAGCCGTTAAAACGCCTTAAAAATTAATAATAATAATAACAATGATGAATTTTTTAATATAAATTAATATATTAAATATATAATAATAAAGTTTTGGATATATTTATATGAAGCATTCTTTTTAGCCTATTTTCTGACTTTACTTAATTTTTGTCTTTGTTTTTATTTCGTTATATTTTTATATTGTATATTTCTATATTTAAATATTTTTTGTAAATTGGATTAATTCCTTGAAATATATTATTATTAATTTGCTCTCTTAATTTGACGTCATGATGAGACCTCTTGTAAGCCGCCATTTCGTAACGGTCGTCCGTTTGAACCGAGGGCGCTTTTCCGATCCGCCGGTTGACTGACAGTATCGCGTCGGCCGGCGGCTCGCGATGGTTCGGTACGCTGCGCTGAAAAGTCTCTATGACATCGACAAGACGATCGGCACGGGCGGCTTTGCCAAAGTCAAACTGGCCACCCACTTGCTCACCGGCGAGAAAGTGGCCATCAAAATAATGGACAAGGAACTGCTCGGCGTAAGTCAATTATTTAAAGGAAAAAACTACATAAATCACTAATTAACGGCTCATTAATGGCAAATAAAAGCATAAAACTTAACTCTCATGCATTACAATCATAAGTCAACCATGAGAATTATAGTGGCGTAGTTCCAGTTGGTAAGACCTAAGTTTTTTTTTTCGCCAAACAAAAATAATTAAATTAATTAATTAATTGACACTTGTATGACTGTATTACTCAATGCTAGTCCTTAATTAATTTCTACGACTATCTTAACTGATCAGTAGAATTGAATTTGCACCAAAGGTTTAAGGTGTACTTTAAAATAATCAATCCTGAAAAGTTGTTTATTGACTTGATCCATATTTGTCCTGAGGGTGCAGATATAGGAAAATGGAATAGTAAATATCATCTAATTAAGGAAGGAGCCAAGTATTTACTGCGGTAGGAAGGTCTGTCACCCATCCCCTTCGGTACTTTTTTTTTCTAGAACCATCATTTACAAAAAGTGAATTTTCATACTCATTTCACCTTCATCATTTCTTGGGTAGCAGAAGATTAAGCATTTAACCTTATTTTGAAGCTCTCCTTGAGTCATTCGTATTCAACACATCCCTAATTAAGCATGCTAGATGGCAGAAGGCTCATGAATAATAGTTTGTGGTTAACTACCGGGTAACAAGGAAAGCTTCTGCGGTTTTTCATTTGTAATGTTAGGAGGAATTTGGAAATTCCTGGAATTTTAGGATTGGATTAATCACATAAGAGGATTTGTCAGTCTCAAGGATTCAAAACCCTTCATTTGTACGTGCTTATTACTTAGTATGTTCAGACTTAGGCTCTCAGATCTCAGAAGGATAAAAAGAAAATAAGGGAACAATCGAACTCGATTATTGGACATAAACAATCCGAGAAACTCTTGACAAATTTTGGAAGGAAAGATGTAACAGAATATAGTAAGGGAAACAGGAAAAAACTGCGATACCTAACATGATTCTTAACAGGGCGCTGCAAACAAAATGGACATCTGAAGACAATTGGTATAACCCGACACAGCGAGTACAGATTCTGCAAAGAAGCAGAGAAAACACTAGCACGCCTATTAACAAACTGTGGTGCTACAATAGCCCGCACGTGGAAGTGCTATGGGACATACAATGTAACAGTAGAAGAAATTCTAATTCAACCATTAAAACCAGGCCTACTAAGTTCCTTGATGAACAAGGACTCACCAATAAGCACATTACAGGGGATACAATAATTCTTTAAGGGTGTAGTATAAAGTTCACCCTGACTAATCATCTACATCTATATCTAAGCCAATATGACAATAGAACCGACAATGTCTGACGTGAGCTATCACAATGGAACAGACTTGTCAGAGCCATTTGCCCATCAATTTTTGGATGGATTGATCAGTTGCAGTTGGCATGAATTTGGAATGGTTTTTTTCCTTTTTTTTTAGGTTTTATTAAATATTTTAAAAGCAATATTTGTTTAATTTAAAAAGTAAATACATTTTCTGTGTCCATGGACACTCACAAAAAATCTGAACGACTTCACATCAAAAAGTGTTCTAAAGCCTCGCATCCTAAGGGAGCAGAAATCTGCAAAAATTCCAAATTATCTGAAACAAATGTCGATGAATAAGGGATGGTTGGAGGGCTAAAAGATTGCCTTGACGAGGCACGACAACGGATGGTATTCAAACCCACACTCTTCAGCATTCTACCCAGATGTTCTAACCGCCTGAGCCACTGTAATTTAGATCTGTGAAACACCGACTTTTCTGGCATTTTCAGTCAAATTAATAATTAATTGAAATAATTAATATGGTCAATTATGACCGCTAAACATATATGGATCAAATTAATAATTTTTTCAACCAATTAATAATAGTCTCAACCAATTTAACAATAGTTTAATTCAATTTAATAATCGTCTCAACTAATTTCATAATTTTTTCATTCAATTTAATAATCTCTCAACTAATTAATAATTGTACCTTACAGGATTTAATAGTTAGGAGAGAAAATCAATACAATCTAGTAGGTGCGAAAACCTTTATTTAATTTTTTTTAAATTTAATAAAAAAATTGAAAAAATGAACATTTTAATATCAATTAATGGAGTGACAGCCCTGCGGCATCTGTTGGCAGCTTCAAAAGGACATCCATTACATTATTAGTGCAGTCGGTGCCCAAAATGTTATCGACACTGCAGTTTATTATTTCTCTTAAGATGCGAGTTCCTTTGGCTTCAGCTAATAGGGTCCTTGCAGCTGTCTTAATCATGAAGAAGACATAATTTGCAGGGTTTAGAGTTGACGAGTAGGGCAGCAGGGAAAATAATCTTATGAGAAAATGATTTCACAACCTCTTCGGCAGTTTTATGGATCCTGTCCATAACTAGAAATTCATTACATAATGAAAGCCCATTAAGTTTTGTACACAGCTCATGTAAAAAATCGCATAAGAGTGAGCTGTTACCGATTATCACTTTTCAAATATTTTTATTTTTTGATGGAATAATTTTACTTTTTCTAAATTTAAATAAAGCTTTTGGCACCTATTAACTTGTATTATTTTTACCCCAGATAATAAAATCCTGAAAGGGACGATTATTAAATTAGTTGAGATTATTATCATATTGAATGAAACTATTAAATTGTGTGGTGATTAGTGACCGCTAGTCGAAGATTATTCAGAAATTGTGAGATGCGGTCTGGTGTGATATAGCAAAAACATTTTCTTTAGCGTGCCAACGTTTCGATCTTTATTGAGATCATCTTCAGGGCTCAAAGTATTTGTTTTCTGTGTAATTGTGCCATTCTTGCGTGTCATGTTGAGAGTGCCACACCAGACCGCATCTCACGATTTCTGAATAATCTATTAAATTGTTTGGGGCGATTAATAAATTGAATGAGACCATTATTATGTCGGTTGAAAAATTATTAAGGTGGCTCCAGATAGGCGGTATTAGCTGTAAGCTGTCAAATATTTGCCCCGTCTTGAGATGATAGTCTTGCATTTGCTAAATAGAATGGCTATGTATATATACATGGTTCATACAGCCAGCCAGTTTGTGTGGAAACAGCGAATGCGTATTTGCCAATTGCTGTGCGAGTCCTCAATGTATTGTCAATCAATGAACAACAATGAAACTGTCATTGCTGCGGTTACTGTTTTGTGCAGTGACTACAGACTCACAAATCAGAGTACTGTTGCCCGATCTTACTTTAGATCCGTTTCCACATATCAAAAACCTTGTTCTGATTTTTGTGATTCCGAAGAGAAGTGTTCTAAATTGGTGGTTCTGCTTGGTACAGGACAAGGAACTCCTGAACTGTTGGACCAATCTAATTGCCAGAAACAATGCTATGTTCTTTCATTAATACATCTATGCTAGTCAGGAATTGTTTATTATTAAACAATAAATAGCAGTGTTGATTGATGATTACAGTAGATATCCATACAGTACAATTCCTTCCCGAATGTGTGGATGCTTTGAGTTCAGCTATTTCACAAATATTTGTGCACTTTAAAGCCACACAAGGCAAGCACCATATAGTGATGCTCGATGTATAACCAAGCGCCCATCCCCACTAGTCGGGATTCAGGGAACCTTTGTTGGGCATTCGGCGAAAATGTCTGAAGCCACCTTGAAAGAAAAATGCTATACCCCAAACACATAGTTTTTTGTGTCATTTCCTTTTATCTTTCATCGTTCTTTGTATTTTCCAGGATGACTACCCAAGAGTTAAGATGGAACTGCAGGCATTGAAAAGCATCTCGCACCACCATATCTGCAAGCTTTACCAGGTCCTTGAGACACCGACACATTTTTTTATGATTATGGAGTACTGCTCCGGCGGTGAATTGTTCGATCACATTGGTAAAAAATTCACCCAGAACAGTTTATTTTTTTGATTAAATGATACAATGAATATTTGTAAATAATATTTGTGTACAGTTGAGAAAAGCAAGCTGACAGAGGCGGAGGCGAGGTCATTTTTCAGGCAGATCCTCTCTGCAGTGGCTTACCTTCATAAAAAGGGCTATGCTCACCGTGATCTGAAACCAGTACGTTTTTCCTCCTCCCTATTGTACTGAATACAGAAAAGTTTTTTGTTTCCCAGGAAAACATATTGCTGGACAAAGATCTCAATCTAAAGTTAATCGACTTTGGACTTTGTGCCAATCCAGCCGGTGGAATGTCATCCCATTTGAAAACTTCATGTGGATCGCCTACTTATGCAGCACCTGAACTTATTCAAGGGAAAAAATATTTAGGTGAAAATCTGAACAATTACTTTCAAACAAATTGTTTTTTATTTTATATTAAAAAAGTACATTTTTATATATGGTAACCAACAATCAAGTACACTCACAGTTTACCAGTTAAGGAATTTTTATAATTTATAGTCTTCAAAAGTTAAATGGTCGAAAAAATTGTTAAGTAATTGCTTATTTTTTATTTTAAAGGTTCTCAAGTAGATGTTTGGAGCCTTGGAGTACTTTTATACGCCCTCCTCTGTGGTTTTTTGCCATTCGATAGCGACTCGATAGAAAGTTTATACAAAAAAATTTTAGTACGTCTCTCAACTATTTGTATTAATTGAATTAGTCGTAACCATTTCTTTTAAAATTTGAATCAACGACAGTCAGGAGTCTATGATGAGCCGCCCTGGCTGACGGAACAGAGCAAGAACATAATAAAAAACATGCTTCAGATCGATCCTAAAAACCGTATCACAATCGACCAACTCCTTGTCCATCCTTGGTTGACAATGGGTTACTACGAACCCGTTTCATACAACACGCTTCACGAGGTAGATTTAATTTCGACCAAAAGCAATTAGAATACATTAATTTTTTATTAGTTTCATGAGAGGGATGAGTCAGTTCTGGAAACGTTAGCAGAATACTCTGGCTCTTCTGTTGATCAAGTTTGGTCCAATGTCAGCAAATGGTGCTATGACTATGAAACAGCTACTTACCAGCTTCTTCTCGCAAAAAAGAAACTAGGTCTTCCATTAAAACTGAACTACAGCCCTTACTGGCTCAGGCAGAGGATTAAGGTAAATCAAATCATTATCAACTTTTGGATTTAAAAAGAAAAAAAATGTAAAAAAATATTTTTTCATTAGCCAGCATTACATAAAATGGTAGGTGTACACTGTTTTTGAAATTTGGTCATTACATGTCATTTGGGTCTGTCTAACCTTGCTAGGGTGGTCAGACACTTTTCAACATTTTGCCATCTTCAGTGCTTAATAAATTATTACGAACAAATCTCAGGTTTACCTATCAGGATAAATCTCACAATATTACTTTTTTGTACCTTTCCTTATTATATAGTATTGTTTAATTTAATTTTAGAAAGGTGTTGCTACACCATCCCGAATCCCAGTACCAATCAATGTATCAGATGTCAGGAGCCCTCTAAGCCCTTCGAGAGAATCGTATGCCTGCCTGGTTAATTCTTTGAACAGCAGAGGACGACGATCGTCTTTCCAAGAGAAAGAAAATTTAGTCACGCCAGTCAAAAATTCAAGGAAAAGGAGCAGATGCAATGCTGGCGATGATTCTCCAAGTACGCATTAACAGTTTTTATACATTTCCATTTTTATTATTACATTTTTAATTTAATGTTTGTTTTTTTGTAAAGTTCCAATCAAGATAACACCTGGAAAAGATAGATTCACAAACAATTTCAAGTAATACACTTTTATTTCCTTTGTGATTTTGGGCAATTTCTAAAAGGTTTGATTTCTCAGGTCACCCTCAACTCCGACGAACAACTCGACTCCGAGCAAAGGAAAGTTATTATGCAGCATAGAAAAGAAGATCAACCAAGTCAGGAACGTCCTCACGCCAAGGAAAAAGGCAATGTCGAATAAATCAACACTACCAATTCTTACAACAAAGGTACATTTTTTAACTTAACTAACTAATTACTATTTTTAACTATTTTTAAAGAATTGGCGTGACAAATACACTTAAGTCAGTTGTCTAGAAATACAAAAGTTAGGGATGGTTAGGGAACAACCTATCAACCTAACCATCCCCAAAAGTTTAATTTGATTTAACACACAGCATTTGTTGCCATTACTGTTAAAATAATTACAATAACAATATCCAGCATCATTCAGTGTTAATAACCTGGTCATCAATCACCAACCAGGTTCACAATATGAAAACAAATTCTTAATATCCAGTGTTATCAATCACAGACTACTTTCACAACCTGAAAATAAATTCTTATCATCCAGTGATCATTCACCAACCAGGTTCTCAACCTGAAAACAAATTCTTAATATCCAATATGATCACTCACCAACCACTTTCACAACCTGAAAACAAATTCTTAATATTTGGTGATCAATAATCAACTAGGTTGATAACACCCAGATGATCAATCACTAACCAGGTTCACAACCTGAAAACAAATTCTTATCATCCAGTGATCATTCACCAACCAGAAAACAATTCTTAATATCCAGCGTTATCAATCACCAACTACATTCACAACCTTAAAAACAAATTCTTATCATCCAGTGATCAATCACCAACCACTTCACAACCTCAAAACAAATTCTTAATATCCAATGTGTTCAATCTCCAACTACTTTCACAACCTGAAATAAATTCTGATCATCCAGGGATCAATCACCAACTACTTTCACAACCTGAAAATAAATTCTGATTATCCAGTGATTAATCACCACCCACTTCACAACCTGAAAACATCCTTAATATTTAGTGATCAATCACTAACCAGGTTCACAACCTGAAAACAAATTCTTAATATTCAGAGATCAATCACTAACCTGGTTCTCAATTCAAAATATATTTTCTAAAGTAACTTTGATGTGACAATTATACTATTTAAGCCCATACAAACTTTTCTGTTTATCTTGGCAGAAAAATACTGTACCCAAGCCAAAATATATTTTTAGAAATTGTTTACCTAGGTTTTAATGGAAAAATTGCTTACTGTGTGTTATGTTTTTCTTGTTTATAGAGTCTTTGCAATGTTTCTACAACATCTTTTACAAACCCCGAGCAAGTCCTTGCAGAACTCCGGGATGCCTTGTGCCAGAAAGGGATTTTCTGTAAAAACAAAGGGTAAAAGGGCTCACAAAATAAACTCCCCCTTCTATCAAAGCTTGAAATTGTTTTTCTTTCAGTTTTACATTGAGAGGGAAAATTGAAGATCACAAGGCCACCGGCGGGCTTGGAAGTTGCAAGCTCTATTTCGAACTTGAAGTCTGCCTTGTCCGGCCTTCAGAAAACTCAGAACCGATCGTCGGAATCAGACGTAAACGGCTGAAAGGCGACGCCTGGTGTTATCGTAAAGTATGCGAGGAAGTGCTCAAGCTCACTACAGAAAAGGCTATTAAGGAATAAAAGATGAATATCTTTTTTTTATTGTATTGTATCAATTATTGATATAATTTAAAACATATCATCGACCAGGTCAAGATTTAGTAGCAAGCTATTTTGAAATGGGAAAAATCTGCACTAATACGTTCATTATTTCTTTGTAATTTTTGGTGGTGGAAAGAAACTTGCCAAAGTGTTTATAGTCTACTAATTAATTGTACATATAACAAATTTTTAAATTTAGAAATTGAAAAAAGTTTTTAAAGCAATATTGCAATTCATAAACATTGTCTATTTTCAATTAAGGTGCTTAATTTTAAAATGTTATAATCATTTACTATATAAAAAAGCCTTTTTTAGTTTATATATACAAATTTGTTGCAATAAAAGTAAATTTACAAAGAATAGTTTTGTCTTTTGGAAAACTTCTCACCAATTCTTCCATACCTTTCCAGCAGTTGTTGATACCTGGATTCTACTGATTCAGATACTTCTGATTCTACTACTCTGGAGAACAAAGAATATGGCTTAGGTGGGTTCCTGCCCTGTCCTTAGCACCTCAAAATCCTTTTTAACTGACTTGTGCTTCAGAGTACTCAGATCAAATCAATAAAAGCCAGTGTACGACAAGGGAGCATTCTCGATCCCATCCTGTTTCCCATTTGTAATGCCGGCTGTCCTGCACATCCCAATACTGATAATTTTGTCCTCTAACCTGAATCTGAGCAATCAACAAACCTAAGAACTATGTGAAGTGTAGGATTACCTTGTTTTACGTGCTCTGATCGGTAGGTCTGACATCTGAGCATAAACGTCACAACACATGTTGGCCACATTCAACTTGGTTGGCTACCTGTCTATAATGAAGTCTTAGGAATTGTCGGGTAGTAATAAAAAGTCTCATCGAGATCATAAAATCGATCATTCATTTCACAATTTTATTTAATTGTTTTGACATATTGGACACAGTTAGTGTAATTACCAAGAGGTGAATAAATATACTTACATCTAATTATAGGATTATTACAAATAACAGCCTCAAAACATAAAGGAAACTTAAAAGTTGGCACAAAATAAAAAATGAGCGTAAAAAAATTAATACAATAATTACAAGTGTAACTTAAAGTACAAAAATTATGAATAAATTATTTTGAGTTTTTGTATAACATATTTTATATCATGGTTTGACTTTGATGTACAATGTTCTGCATAAAAATGTAAATATATATTACACCAGTAATTAAAACATTAAACTAAAAATTTATTCTCTGTGGATATTATTCATAAAAGGTTGATTTTCTGTTATTTAGCTTGTTTATAAATGATATGGTAGATTATTTTGAATTCTGCAAGTTTAAAATGTTTGGTAGTAATCATCAATTTTAAGCATTAAGGCGTTCGCCAACCTGGCAAAATAAAGGTTCGACCAGCTGATCGGCGCACTCAGTCCCTTTCTTTTCTTTGAGCTATAGGGGGGCTTGTATTGTTTGATTCTCTTTTACTTTGTGGTTTAAGTACACTAGACACCGCTTTTCAACCGAACGGTTCGTTTCTACCTCGAACATTCCATTGTAAAGTTATTGTGCGTTTACTTCCTACAGTTTTTTTTTAAATCTATTTTTTATAAAACAGGAAGTTAATATATTGATATATACTTTTATTTTAACTATACATTTTATTAGTACACCAAAAAGGTAAAAAAATTTATATTTCAACAATCGACATTTTGTAAAAGCTTTATTTTGGTTTCTTTATTTACATTTTTTTATCATTGTTTATAACTGCATTTGTGCTTTTTTAAATCATACATCGAAAACTTGCGAGATGGCAAACCACAACCAGATCTATCTAATGTTTGGGAGTGACAACTCGCCAAAATGAAAAACAGAGAGTGTAAACTTTTTTTAAAAATCATTTTTGAAGCTTGATTTCTAATTAAATCGTAAGAAAGTATTTTTCTGTCTGTTTTTTAGACTGAAAAATCTTTGCTGGATTCCACAAAAATCAAAACAAAACTAAACAAAGTTCTTTACATCCCAAGAAATAAGAATTTGTTAGAGTCAATAGTTTCTGAAGATGAAAGAAGAAAATGACGATGGTTGAATGTCCACAAGATGCCTCTGCTGAAGGTAATGTTTTTTAGACACAATTGCTATTATTACAATTTTAATAGTAATTCTACAACTTTATTATTTTTAGCTGAAAATTCTCATCAAAACGTCCAGAAGAACATTGACAATGTTTTAAATTAATTTGCATAGATGAACTGGCAGAAAGTATTATTGCCAAGTCCAACAAATATGCTGTAAGCCGGTCCCCGTCTTAGCGATAAGTTTAAATTGTTAAAATAAGAACAAAATAGGGTAAACAATGAAAAGGGACAAAGGTTGTACTCTGAAGGGGCGACCACCCAGACGGGAACGACGTGACAAATCAGGCAAATGTAGCTTGGAAATGGTTACCCAGGTAGACAGGTAAGAACGGTCGGAAATCCGGGGGACATCATAAATTGGGGATGCGTAAACCCGGTGCTAGACCACCGTCTTTGCCGGCCCACCCGCGGCATGAGAACTCCCTCGACTTTTGAGTTTCCTTTCCACCCCTACTCCAGGAGAGACCCGGTATAAAAGGGATGACTGGAAAATCAAAAGTCAGTCAAAATTCGAGACTCACCCCAGGGAGTCAAGAAACAAGACTCACCCCAGGGAGTCAAGATACAAGACTCACCCCAGGGAGTCAAGATACAAGACTCACCCCAGGGAGTCAAGATACAAGACTCACCCCAGGGAGTCACAAGACTCACCCCAGGGAGTCAAGATACAAGACTCACCCCAGGGAGTCAAGACCAAGGACTGGGAGAGAAGCAGACACACTCCGTCTGGGATTCAACAAGAGGATTCAGCCAGCCAAAGCCAGCGAGGATCAGCCGTTGCGACCAATCGAACCAAGTCAGAGGTCGAGAGAAGAGATGCTGTGGACACTGATCGTGGCGAGCATCGTTTGGGGTAAGTCCCTTTGTTGATAGACTCATCCCAAGTGTAGACTTGTGGCTGACTTGTAGATTAATTAGATTCTGTGGTTTGGGTACCGTTAAGAGAAAGAATTGTGTACAATAAATGTTACTGAATATGCTCTCTGGTTTATTGAATTCTAGAACCTTACCTTCCCCTAAACAAGAATAGGTAGCGACGCGCTTATGCCGACTAATCTCTTGTCACTTATAGAAAAGCAAGCGAATATCGAGAGATAATTCGGCCACTTACATTGTAATTGTTCATTTTACTTAAATAAACCTGTTCAGTGTGGAGGTTTGTTGGTATCTTGAGAAATAAGTGCTATTCTGACCCTGGCCTCTCTGTTCTAATTTCCATTTTCCTGACTTTTATTCTAGATTTCCTGCTGAAATGGACAAAAAATGTATGAATTCTGCAACCCTAATGATGTTGCAGAAATTAGAAAACTGCTGATGATCCGGCGCTGGTTGAGGATTTTGGGGAAGAAAGCGATATGAAGAGTACAGGGGAAAAACCAGCTAATTCGAATTTTGGTCGAAAATGAGTTGACAGTTGCTCCTTATGTATTTCGAGGTGCCGGATCCGATGCGACTGTCAGAACTGGGGAAAAACCTGCCCAAATGTCTCAAAAAAGCGAGTGAGTAAACGCCGCACAGGGGAAGAACCAGCTAACCTGAGCGCCACAGGGGAAAAACCGGCTAACGTTTGGCACTCGCTTCTTCCCTCCCCACTCCCTTACGTTTTCCTCGAATTGTTTCCTGTTTTTTTCCTTTCAAAATATTGAGTGTTTGTTAGTTGGATCAGTTTTCTATATTCCTCAGTGCCGTTTAGTGTCGTTTTTTCTTGTTTTTGGTTGTTCCTGATTGACTGCGGCTAGTATGAACGTCCATGGCTTCTCAGACGAAGAAGATGAACACCTACCAGCTTCATCAAAGAAAAGGAAGGTAACAGGTAGACTCAAAGACGTGAATAAAAAGCTCAGAACTCAGGGGCATGAATTAGGCCCTCCCTGTCATTGCAAGAAGTACAAGTGCTTCGAAGTTGTGGGCGAGGAAGACAGGAAAAAAATCATTAAACATTTTAATCTTCTCAATGACTGGAACGAACAAAGTTCTCATTTGACTGGACTCATGAGCGTCACACCCGTAACAAATCGACCTGTAAGAAAACCTGATGTTGAAATGAATGCCACACTAAGAACCGCCAGTTTCCACTACAAAGTAAGGATGCTTCGGGATGATGGTGTGACGGAAGTCCCAGTCTGTCGAAAAGCTTTTTTGTCCATGCATGGTATTACAAAAGCTAGAGTTGTGACAATTCAGAACAGTTTGAAAGACACTGGTACAAGCCCAAAAGATAGAAGAGGTTCACACAAGAACCGTCCACGGAAACTACCTGACGCAACTATGTCGTGCATCATGAGTCATATAAGGTCTTTTCGCACCAGACTCAGCCACTACTCACTCATGAAGAGCAAAAAACGTTACCTACCGGAGGAGTTGAACGTTAAAAAAATGTATGACATGTACTGCGAACTATTTCCAGGCTATAAGGCAAGCTACGAGACGTATCGTAGCATTTTCAACTCTCGTTTCAACATCAGTTTCGGTTACCCCCGCACCGACACGTGCAGCACTTGCGATAATTTTGCAGTCAAGCTAAAAGAATGCACCTCCCCTAAAGAAATGAAGAATTTGCAGACGATGAAAAAACTTCACCTGTGTAAGGCACAGACTTTCTATGACAGAAAGAAAAATGAGAAGCAAAGTTGCAGAAAAAAAGTCGATTGTGAAGCGATCGTCATGGACTTCAATAAGAATTTGCCATGCCCGAACATAGCCACAAATGACGTATATTACCGGCGCCAGCTGTCTTTATTCTCATTCAACATTCACCGATTAAGTGATAATGACGTGGTAATGTTTGCGTACTCTGAAATTATTGCCAAGAAAGGATCGAACGAGGTGTGTTCTTTTTTATACTACAACGTGGAACATCATTTGCCCCAGACCGTACGCCATCTCGC